AAATGTTGAATTTTAATATATCAATTTTTGTTTATCTAAATGTAAAATCTCAAATTTCATGTGAAATATTTTATCTCAATATTTTGTAATAAATCGAAATTTTAAGTTTAATATTCTATGATATGATTGCTGAAACTTAAACTAACTGTGAGCTCTCACCGCCACCCAGCTGCATTACCAAAATAAGAGCTTGATCGAGTCACTTCAGTTGAAATTTAACATTTATGTCTAAATTAAAATTCTTATTAGTTTTTTCTGTTAAAAGTTTTGTTAAGTTAAATGTGCTTCATAGTGTCAGCCTGATTTGGTTTAGCATTAACAAGCTTACCGACACATTACTGCCCCCTGTTAGATTTACATCAACATTTAGAAATCTGCTTCAACATAGGTCTGCAGGTCATAACCTTCTATTTGACCACACCCCCTTGATGCAACACAAAACTCAGTTTAAGAGATTGTAAATAATGTTTCCTTTTCAATGAGTAGGTTCACAGACCCAGAGTTTTCTTCTACAGGAGTCAAATATTGTTCACTTTTTGTTGGCGTTGACTTTTTCAATTCTTAGTCATCAGCTGTAGAGTCTGCTGCTTTCAAAAGACTAGTGACTAAAAGGTGACATTTATGAAAGCGAAATAAAGCAACAAGGATACCAGATAATGATCCAGTTACTTTTCAAAGGAACTAATTTGTCAAACCCTGGTCCTGGAATACATTTTTCTACCTGTATCGCTGCTCTAAAGAGGAAATGAAGCTGGTTTTTAAACTATTTGAATAACAGCGGCTTGTGAAGCCCATATAAGGCCGTGTGTCATTTGCTTGTGCAAATAAAAGTATGTTCACTGACAGAGATATGCAACACTGCCGAACTCTTCACCCCTCCTCCTCTGTTTCTTCCTCTGTCACAGAAACCCTCCCAAAACATGTAGATCGAGGATAGCATTAATCTGAATTTGAAAAGTGCCTAATTTAATCAGCTGGACCTTTAGAGGACTCTTACATAACAAGAAACAATAAAAAAAAGGTAGTTAGTTAAAGCTCCTGTGTGTGATTTTAACAGCAATGCTTTTTTATGACTTACAAAAATAAACAAGACCATCAGAATCAAGACTGACACTGTCTGTAATGTAATTTTCAAAGCCTGTAACCGCAGGGAGGGGTAGGTGTCACGCCAGGTGATTGACAGCATGTACTTTCACAGCATAGATTAACAGTGAGTGATGCATGTTAGTTTTAAAAGAAAATAGGATAAGACCCTATTATCTTGGAAGCATCACTTTGTCCACAGGGGGCGCTACACAGGAGCTTTAAACAGATTTTACAATCTTAAAAAATACACACATTCTCATGCAAAAGTACCTGAAAGTTTGCATGTTTGCTGACCTGTACATGTACTCAAAAGATGCTGAAAGATAACTGCAACATCTTCTGCTACTTTGGCTCGAACACTGTGAAATTTTAGACACCTTTGCATCTTTTTTTACATGTGTAAAATGAACAGCAATCTTGTGCGCACACAGGTAAAACTTTCTGCTTCTCCATGGAAGCAAAAAGTTTATATTTGCTCACTGACACAGTCTCTGAACAGTAAGTGATAACGTTTTCCTTAATTTTGAAAGACTACAACCCCTGCTGCCATCATCTCTTATTAAAGGTGTAAATTAAGGGCATATATGAACAGTCTTGGCAAATATTTCAAAAACCATCCTAAATCCAAATATTTTTCCCACAAACAGAGGAGTAAAGGAAGCTCATACTCACTGTGTGAAGGGATAAAGTCAGCTCTCTGCTGTTACTACCTCAGCGTTTGGGTTCGACTCTGGATGCCTGACTTAGTGTTTGTATATGCTTGGCAGGGACCTCCCTCCCCAAAATGCCGGCTTAAAAGGAGCAAATGAGGCAAGATGACTTCACCGGTCTACTGAGAGTAAGAAGGAGGGAGGGAGGGAACATGACGGAGGAGTAGGAGAGAGAGAAAAAAGGGGAAGTTCATCCTTAAAAGGGCAATGGCCTTTCAGCAGCCTGCTCTCCCTGTCTGAGCGTCTCTTCCCCTCACGTCCAGTTTTTAAAGCCCAGCCTTATTTGGGTAGAGCAGCTCTGGGCAGAGACAGCAGCAGGCAGAGACGGCTCGGTCAGCAGGAATTCTCTGAATACTTTCACCACATTGCTACTCATTCAAAGAGGAAACAAGGTGCTGAGGGGAGAGGATGGGGTTTGATGGGGGGAAGACTCAGAGACATGAGAACAGAGCAGCTAATGAAGAAAACGAGAATCATATTTTCTCTGGATGAGTATGATATCAAAATTTCAACTTCCCAAGTACAGAAACTGCTCTCATGAGGGTCTCCAATGATCAGCTGATGCTGGAGAGTGTCTGGGCCTTAGTACAGCATTTGGGAAACTCATCGTGTTGATTCAGGGATCCAGACAGTGGTTGGGAGTTTCTGGAACAGCATTAGACTTGGGTCTAGCCCACATTCTGATGGATATTTTAAAAAACTGAGGTTTGCTTTCAAAAAGCATCTATGGCAGCTCAGAAATGATTGGAAAAGCTCACATGTGCATGCTAGACAAGTTACAGGCAATAATGTGTTGTCAGTCTAACATGTCAAACACCCTGAACAATCTGCACATGGGTAATAAGCATTTCCAGACTGTGCACAGAGTGGGAAGCATTGAAATAATGAGCAGGATTGCAACTGTTGAGCTCATCATCCAAAATGTTTTATCTTTGGCTGTTCACACAAACATATAGGATTTTATCTTAAAAAAATATTCTCACCTTAGAAGCTGATTTTTAAAAAATCTGTTTACGTGTGTCCAAAACCCCTCCAAAACACAGAGAAAAGGCTACATTTTTAAAAACACCCGCCTTAGAGTGGACTTGGACTGATTAAAATATTATCTTTGTCGACAGAACTTTTCCAGTCACTACATGTGATACCTTATTTCATCTTGCCCAAGCTCTTGAAGTCCCTCAGGGCTCTTATCTGGGCCCTCTGATGTTTTCTCAATTGACCATTTGCAGTGATGTATCCACTGTAATCTCATTCACCCAGAGTGATCAAACTGTTTCATGGTAAAGTCCTGTTTTTTAGACGCTCTAGTGTCCTGTATCCTGAAGAATATCTTCAGTACATTTTATGTATCCCGCCTTTTGATCATTTAAAAAATTGAAATCTCAATGCACTGTACCTGCCACACTAATTCCTCTGTGTAAAACTATCTCTCAGTCCCTGCGAGGCACTGCTTAATTCAGATTTTCCAATGCAGATGTTAGTCAATTGGTGCTTTGAGAGCCCAGCTTATCAGACAGTCCAGGGCGGCTGTGTAACTTCCTTTTCCAAAGATCTCCAGGATTTTATCCTCCTCAAGCTCTTTGGAAAACTGACTTCTGAGACTCTTTCCAGTGTGCTAAAGGTACATTGATGAAAAACCCAATTATACATCAAGCTTAGCCAGAGCAGTTTTTCTATCCTGGTGGGGCCAGGCTTTGAGTTTGGTTTGGTTTGCTCCTCATTTTCAACACTTCATCTCTTTCTTCTCATCTGTCTTTCCATTTTTGGTTCTGTAATTTTAAGTTGGTGTACAGGAAAGATGTGGTATTTAAATGAAAGTCTGTCTGAATCACACAGCCGTATGTTGCTGCACTCATACTCATGTGTTTTATTGGGTGCGTGGCTTTAATGGGTTTTCCTTTCATGGATGATCCAGGGGAAAACTTGAAGATTTAAAAGGCCTCTTCTAACATTTTCAAAGGAGTTTATTTCTATATAATCACACCTTTTTTTTTCCACGTTGCACTTCTGTTGTAGAATGGTGCTGCTTTCATCCCTCATAGGCTATTCAGTCTCTGAGCTAAACCATCATCTAGCTCCAGCCTCACACTGAATGGACGGATACCAGCACTGTTAAAGGAGTGTGCATGTGTGTACTGCATGTGAGTGGAGATGTGTGTTACATGTGTGAGCTGCTACATCATGTTTTAGTGTTTAGCAGAGGGACTCTCGCTCAGTCTGGATGTGGTTTATAATCATTTGTAATGAGCTTCCATAAAAGGTGTTTGTTTGCACTTTTACAGCACTGTCATAAGCTAAGTGTTAGCATGACTCGCTGTTATCATTCCCAGACGAAACCCAGGGCTCCAGCTGCTACTCTTTTCCATTCATGGGCTCTGCTCATCTGTATGTGTGTGTGTGTGAGTGAGTGTGTGTGTGAGAGAGTTTGATGAGCTAAAACACACAATGATTTAAAATAAACACAAATCATTGGCAGAATATGCAAATAAAAGACAAAGAAAAATCACTCTTCTTCTGAAATTATGTTTGTAGTTGTAGTTTATTGACATTTTGTTCCATTAATGCAAACATGTTACTTTATTTTTTATGCCATGCAAATATACATCTGTAAGTGATCAGCAATGCCTTAATTTACATGCACCAGTCTATGTGCACCTATTAACTTTCACTTGATTCTATCTCAAACTCATCCAGTGATCCGTCACAAACCGACAACTCTAATGCCAAAAAACTTGGGATGCTGTGTAATTTGTGGCTAAAAGTTAATGTTTGTGAGTCTTAAAAGCCTGTATTCAGTTTTAAAAAACTGCAGAAAAACAAAAAGAGGAACCTTAAAAAATATGTAACTTAAAACTAATTTAATGGGAGAATAATGTTTCAAAAAGTTATCAGAGAAACAACAAAACAGGAACAAAATTCCACCAGAGACTTATCTGAACCTGAGTGGAAGTGGAAAACAAGCCAGAATGGGGCAGCATTTCACCTTTAAAAACTGGTCACCTGGTTCACCTGGAGTGTTAGTTTGAGAGTTGATTACCCACAATGAAAAAGACCTGATCGTGTTACTGTCTTTCTACATTAAAAACAGGCTTGAAGTGCTACAAAAACCACAAAATATTGTTTTCATTAACATTAAACACAGCATCCTAACTCTTATGGAATCAGGGTTGTACTTGTGCAGGGCCAGTAAGTGAATTGGTACAGTTAAGCAGTCAGCTCCTCAGTTTCAGGGTACAGCATAAAACCAGTAAATACGTTGTACGGCAGGTTTGAGCAAAGCCTCCTTCCAACCATCAGTTCCATGTAGACCTGATCACCCCTCTTTAGCTCCACTATCGTTACCTGGAAGATGCAGATTAAGAAAAAAAATGACGTTTTCGAGCAGCAGTCAAAAAAAATCACGTCAGGGTATTAAATTTTACCAGAGTGGCACTGTCTTCGGTGTCCTCTCGATTATCCTCCCACACACTGACTATCAGCTCCCCATTCTTCATCATCTGGACCTATGAATACAGGAAAAATCATGAGGTATTTGCTTTTGTTCAGAACTTATTCAGAAATCACTTTCAAGAAATCTTACTTTGTAACGGAGACGTCCAGTTTCTCCCACATATGAGTACACTGTGGCAGAAAAGACATAAACACCTGCACGAGGAGCAGTAAACAGACCTGTAGGGACAAAAAATCTGAGGGGTCAGTGAACTAATCTCATTTGTGGCTTCAATCAGAACAGCTGTTAACTCTGTCTGTCTGTGTGTCTGTGTGCATCATACCCAAGGTGGGGTTGTAGCCGAAGCCGTCATTAAGGGAGACAGTGGAGTACGGGATTGGCACATTACTCGTAAAAATACCAAAGCAGTTTTGAGAAGTTGCATCAGCAGGATCCATGGAGGCTTTGAAGGAAACCTTAAAGCCAGCTGAAGGAATAAAAGGACATTTATTGTACTGCAAAGCAATCTGAAGTGTAAGTCCACCCCCTGTGTCTGCAGGTGTGATTACCTGTAAACTCCATCACACTGTATTTCAGTGAGCTGACACCTATCCATAGATTTGTGATCCTTTCAAAAGTTTTGTCCTCAAGCTCAAACATGTCATTGGCTCCACAGCAGCAGCTACGCTGGCGTTTGAAGGCACAGTCACAATCCCACTTATCACAGGTCAGAGGCTCCGTCAGTGACACTGAGGCGAGAAATAATGTTGATGTTGGACAATATTCACTTAAATAAGCAGATGTTTCTGTGTGGATTCGTGTTTGGGGGAAAAAAATAAAAATGTGTCAGTTTGTGTTGCTTACATGCAGCATTTTTCATTATGTCTAAGGTGCTGGAGTTGGACTGAGCCTCCACATGGCCACAGAGAAACAGCGCCCTCAGCAGGAACAAAGCAGGTACTATAAACATCTGTAAAACAGCATTCATAGATGAAGTAGACGTGGACTAATATGCAGCCATTCAAGAGTTGTGATGTTAAAATCTCTGATGGATCATACTCAGTGCCACTTTCAGTCTTTAAATCGTTTATATATCACCTTAAAAGCAAAACAAGTTTAGCATCAGAGCATCATGAGCAGCTCGTCCCACATGCTTCATGTTAATCTGAAAATCCAGGAATAACAGGGACATGCCTGTTTTTTTTTTTTTTTTTTTTTTTTTTCCTGAGAACTGCATGGAGGTCTGAGCCAAAATAGATAGTTGATGACTGTATTAGCTATATTCATGTCACAGGTATTAAAAACACAAAATTTTTAAACCAAAAGTCCTGGATCAATAAGCTCCATTTATGTCTGCAGTCAGAGGCCAGAGCTGGGAACAAGGTCACACCTTGTTACGAATAAAAACTAGTCGTAAAGTTGCTCCTGCCGACATTAGCATTATTGGCTTTGCTGCGTTATAACTCACTATGTGAAAGGATGCGATAGCAGTATGAAAACATGTCCACAGGTGGAACTTGCACAAAAATACAGTTGAGATAAATTGAATTACAGAAAGTCAGGCAGTTAATGCAACGGACAATTATCTTTGATTTTGAGCTTGGAAGTTGCTCCAAGTTTCTGAGATGAAAAGTGGACTTCAGGGGGTGTACCAGGTGGCATCTCTGCATTTCGGTCCCCTTAGCTCATACCTTAAAGGTGCTACAGAAGTCAGACATTAAGGAGGTTTTCTTTGTATCATTCTCAACTTTTGACACAGGAAACAAAAACGAAACTGAACTGCTCTGTGTAAAAATGATATTAAGTACATCAGACCTTAACTCAAAGTTCAACCTTGTTCTTTTTATTTCCCAAAAGTTATTGTTGGGATTTTGAGCCTTTTTAAGAGGACAGGACAATGAAATAACATGCAGCAAAGGGATGCTGGCTGGCATTAAGACTAGGCACCCACTTCGAGAAACATAGTATCTGCACAATGGGATGTATAATTAAACCACTAAGTCAAACCTCAGATCAGTAGTAGAGCCAGACATCTCTTGATTAAACATTGGTGATTTTTCAGCTTGACACTGAGCCTTCCATTATTCCAGGTAGTGCAGTCAGAAGTTTGTGAATATGTTTGTCTGGTTAATACTGAATGGTGCTTAAAGTTTGAAAAGCAAAGATCTGCTACATTACAGCACTTAATGTGAAACAAAACCAGATATCTCAATGTCAGACCAAACAATCATCAGGAAATACATGAAGGAGACAAGATACAGCCTGAAAACACACCACAGCTTTCTTAAAGCAGCTGCATTTTTTTGTAAGACACAGTCTAAATGATCACCTTTGGGTTCTTTTGAAATATAGATAATATAAATATGAGGTAAATTAACCAAACTTACTGTTTTGGTTCCTCTCTCTCTTCTCCCTCTGAAACTGTGAGTCAACTTTGGGAGATGTTTCCACACTGAGAACAGGAGTTTTGAGCAGTGGCTAGTTTTAGCATCATAGCAGCACAGGTGATCCACCCCATGACAAGGTGCATGACATAAGCTCCGCCCCCTTTCATAAACAACAATTACACAAAAACAGAGACACCACAAACACCCACAGTGACACAAAACTGATGAACATTGACACGGTCCACACAAAGAGTCCCGTACATCAAATAATGTTGGTTTTCTTCAGGCATGTAAGAAAAGACTCAATCATGTTGATGCTTTCAGCTCTTTGTCAAGACCATAAAACTCCTTACTGGGACGGCGGTGTCCGGTTGCTTCTTCATCAGTTACTGAAATACTGATACGTATGACTTTGTTTTCAGGTCCCTAAGGATGAAATAGCCAACAGACCGGCGGACAAAGATAGCTGATAGGACACGTTATCAGTCCATCGATAAAGGCCAACAAACAAGAACAAATACAGGAACCTCCTGGTTCTCAGGCTGAGACTGAAAGAAGAGCAAAATGACACCGTGTGTTCCTGTTACCACTTTCTCCTTCTGATGCTGCTCAAAACTAAGATGGATTGATTGTGGACACATGATAGTCTCATGACGAAGACTTACTCCAAATTTATGTAAATGAAACAAGTTGTGAAGTTGGCTAACTGCTCACATCCTGCTCAACCAGTTAAATGTGGGGTTGAATTTGTACGGGCATTCATGGTATCCAAAGGATGTGTCGTACCTTAGCTTTATCGTCACTCTACCATAAGTTAAACATGCTGGATATTTTTTTAATAACACAGCTGTGTAAAAGACTTTATTGGACTGGGTCAGAATACCAGGACAATGGTGATCCAGTCTCCTGATCCTGTTAAATAACACAGGACAACTGCAGACCCTCTCAGTTGTCTCCATGTTTGGAGATATTAAAAATGATGGACAGCTGAGTGTTAAACAGCTGCTCTCCTCTATTGTTGCTGTTGTTTGTAACCTGAATTTGGTCCTCCGGATTAGATAACAGGGTGTTTCCTCTGTTTTTTACAGCTACCGGTAAAGCCTTGTTGGCCTCTGGGATGGAGCTTTGTCTGGGTCTTTGGTGACCACCTGTGTGTTTAGAGTCCCAGGTCAGCTGTCCTGGTTTCTTCACATTTCCTTATCTGCTATGGAGGCCGGGAGTATCAGGTGTTTTCATGTCCGCTGTTCACACATTTCTGCAGGACTTTAAAATGAGTCCCTTTCAGAAATATGATGAGATAAAATGACATGTCCTGCGCCCTGATCTTAGGTGTCATTTCAAACCTCAGCTTTGAATTACAGTAAATACAAGTCCTGGTCGATATGAGCAACAGATAAGTTTGGCATCAACAATTGACAGATATGACTAACTCACAGCTGGTTTATCAGATTTATTTTGTTTTCATTTCATTTTCTGTAAATATATTTTAATTTATTTTGTCTGATTTCATTTTGATTAGTTTCATATGTTTGTTTTATTTTATTAATTACATTGAATGTACCATCTATTTGGCTTTATTCCATTTTTATATTTTTTTTCATTCTTGTTTTTTATATTATTATAGTTCATTTTGTTGATTCACTTCCATTTGATTTAACTCGATTTTGATCCTTTTCACTGAAGAAGTTGTGTAATGCTAAAAAAAATTTAAAAAAATAGCTGGAGGAACATTTCCAACTAATGAAGTGAATTTCCAATGGGTGGGTAACATGACTGGGTATAAAAAAGACATTCAGTGAGGCTGAGTGTCTCAAAGGGAAAGATGGGGAGAGGTTCACCGCTTTGTGAGAGACTGTGCGATCAATTAAATCAATCCTTATATCTCATGATGCTGCTCGACATTTCAGAATAATGTTTCCTCAAATGTGAAAGAATGAGTGGATTACATCATCTACTGTACATAATACCATTTTAAAAATTCAGGCCCTCAAGCAGCACTGCATTAAAAACAGGTGTGACTCTGTAGTGGAATTCACAGCATGAGCTCACAACCACTCAAAAGCGAACCATGCATAGGGGAAACCATTTATAAACATGATCCAGAAACACCAGAGACTTTTCTCGACCTGAGCCCAAAAACCGTCCTGTAGCTTGACAAATCGAAATTTGATATTCTTTTTTTAAATCATGGACAGTATCATTTTTTTGTTTCAACATGTGTGTTGTCTTTGCACTAAAACCAGTCACTTATGTGCTTTAAAAGGTTTGCAAACTTTTACCATGTTTTTATGAGCATTTTTTCATGCTGTCTTAACCCTTTTTAGAAATGGGGCTGTAATTACTGCCTCATCTGGCTGTTTTCACCTCATCTGCATTGTTTTTTTTAATTAAAAATAATGATCCACAAAAAGAAACAATAAGTGGGACTAAAGTGCTTTATTCAGAAATCATTCATTTGAACCAAAGTTCATATACATAGTGTTTTTAATATAGAAAGTAACATTTGAATAGCTTTAACAATCTCTTTGTTTTCATGACCGTGTTGTTTTTGAACTTTTCATGTCTTTGAACCACACAGGTTTATTTCTTGTCACCAGTTGTAACATTACACAACCATCATAAAGAGACAGGCGGTTACAGGTAAGGACTGTTATGCTTTGACCAATTAAGTTTTCAGTGTTCCTTAAAAAAGAGCAAAGTCAGATAAAACATAACCCAAAGATTTTCCACCAGCTTACTCCTCCCTTCTATCTCATTCAGTATGGTACAGCAGAAAGCCGCTGAAAGTGTTGTAGCGGCCACTGTCATCACAGAGGAAACATTCGTTGTGGATGTTGACAGCTACCTGGTCCCCTTCGTACAGATGGAGGGCGATGACTTGAGAGGAACTGTCCTCGTGGTCAAATTTGTTTATGTCCAATGCAGCAGCCACGGTCTCTGAGTTAACCTGGAGTCTGGCGCAGGCAGCCAACTGGCTTTTGGGAGCCCCTGCATCGCTGTAGACAGTGAAGGTGATGCTGTAGACACCTGAGAAGGGAACAGTGAAGATACCTGTGTCTGGATCGTAGCCACTGCCCACATTTAGGAGGACATGATTGTAACTGATGTATTGGTTTGTACTGGTGGCACTGATACATCTGGGGGAGCCATTTGTAGACAGAGTGGCAGAAAAGGCAGCACGGCGAGCTAGAGAGGCAAGAATAGACAATGGATTACTAAGTAAGAAATCAAGATGCTTCACCTCCCACTGCTGAATTTATTCCTCACCTTTAAAGTTGTCAAAACTTTCCTTTGTGCTCTTGTAATCGCTTTCCAACTGGCTCAGAGTCTTGTTAAAGCTAGCCTTTAACCTATCGACCTCAAGGAGCATCGTACAGCAGCCACAAGCACCCTGGGAATCCCTGCACTCTAAAACACACATGTACAAGAAAGTAGTACAGATGCAGGTTTGAACTCATGCACAAAATTGATCAACAGGATTCCTCACCTTTGCCTTCGGCTTGGTCTTCTGGTGAGTTCCAGCCAAATGAGGGACTGGGCATCTGTCCATAAGCCGAGTACAGCAGGCACAGTAGCATAAAAACTAGAGGAAAAGAGAAACATGCAAAAACCATTGCATTAGCTGACTGTTACTGCGACGAATATCCTCTTCCGTAAATGCAAGAAGCCTCACCTTTCATGATGACACTGTGTGATGGCAGCTTCAGAAGGAAATACAGTTCGACTGACCGGCAGTGAAAGTTTCATAGATGTATATTCCCTCCGAACCACTCCCTTGTACCAGCTTTTATTCCTTTTCTCGTCATCGCTCCTCCTTGAATCAGATTTTTTTATACGCCCAAATATGCCTTTTTAACGGTGAAACCAAAGGACGCTTTATCTCCATCCCCAGGTACTCTCACTCTCACTCTCTAATATCGAACACAAAGAGACACACACCCTCACGGGCTGTACACAGACGGCCACGGGCCAGATTTCATCTATTGTTTGGAACATCGTGTCTCCAGACATGCAACGTGCAGATGGGTTCAGATTGTGCATTCACTGATCTGTCTGAGAGTCTCTGAGCTCCCTGTACGACTACAGACGATGGCAGAATCAACAGCTCTGTTCCTGTGGTGCATGGTGTGCAATATGTGGTGAACAGCTCACACATACAAACTCTTTTTGCAAGAGTCCTGACCATCAAATCGAAAACTCACACCAAGTCTCTAATATCCAAACATGTCTATAGAGTAGAAACCACTGGGAACTACAGGAGTAAGTTAGTTTGGTTGTGAAGATGGCTCCAATCTCCAATCACATTAATCTCTCAAAGTGTAATTGTAACGTGCAGTTTTGTGTATCAACCTAATCTCTAATCTTTGGTATCTGCCATGAAAAACTGATTTTATTGAATCTCTCATAATGAAGGGACAAGAGTGGGTTTGATGTTACAGGGTGAGACTCAATCTCACTGGCAGGTCTTTGTATTTAATGAAAGAAAGAGTCTAAACCTGGTGTGGACATGACAAAACATACAGAACACCACTAACAGGGATCTAATGTGTTCATGATAATATCTTTAGTGCAAATGGGTGTATATTGAAATATAGAATATTAGAGCTATAACACTCTTGGAGAAAATCCTTGATGTTAACCATATCTGGCCACCCTTATGAAAGTCAGTGCCCCAGTTTGGCCACCCCAGTCTAAAGATTCTGGCCAAACTTAACCAGTAAGTGCATCAGAGTTTATTCACTGATCTAGTTTTACCAGAGGGAATTTCTCTGGTTCATATTTTTTATTATAAGTAAGAAGGCTTTTTCGAGATGCTGAAAGAGACATTTCTGAGCCATATTTTCTTGTGAATATACCTTTATTCGAAGAGGATGGGTCAGTGGATAGAGCAAGATATCAGGACAGAGAGGTAAGAGGGGGTTACAAGTTGGAATCCAAGTTGCCTGAGGACAAAAGCCCCTGACCACGGCCAAACCAGGACCCATACATAAATGACGCCTCTCAGTGTATTAAAACAAGGTTTATTTAAAATGAGAATGCTTATAGTGCTTCAGAAGTAGCCTTAGGAAAAGTAGAAAATCTTGACAGAATAATACACAAAATAAGTATTTATAATAGAGTGTCAATGGAGATTAGCAGCTACACATTCATAAACATTCCTAGATACAAGCTGATTCAATGTGAAAGGTCTAAAAACACTCATTATAAGTTTAAAGCAGCTGTGTCAGACTATTTCAGCAGGCCTAGTGTAAATCAGGTAACCGGTGAAGCTGTTCATGTGTCTCTCATCATCGCAGACGACACATTCTTCAGGCAGAATGACAAACACCTCGTCTCCCCCCTCCAAAAATATGGTGATCACCACTGTAGAGCTGTCTTCTCTGTCCTGGCTGGTTTTCTCTGGCAGCGAGGTCATCACATGGCCGTTTATCATCAGGCTGGCACAGGTCATTAAGCCACCCTCAGGTGGTGGGTTACCATAGACGGTTACGGAGAAGCTGTAGACCCCAGGAAAGGGTGCAGTGAAGACCCCAGTTGTCACGTCAAAGCTGCCTCCCAAGTTGATGTGGACATGTTCGTAGAGGATGATCCTGCTGTCGCGAAAAGGGCCGAGGCAAGTTAATTGTTCCTCGTTGTTCAGAGCGACAGAGAAGACACTGCGGAGGGCTGGAAAAGAAAACAAAGACAGTCATGAAGTTTCTATCCTAATGTGGTTCCTGCAGAGTTTGTGTGGGTCAGATTCATCCCTCACTTTTCTTATCCCTGAGGTCTCTCTGTGGGTATGAAAGCTCCTCCTTGAGTTCCTCTACAGCATGGTTCATGAATGACTCCATCCTTGCCATCTGCCTCCTCATCATACAGCAGCCACAGATCTCCGGCTGGAAATCACACCCTGTGGACACGCACATATGTAGATTTACTCATGAGACTGCAGAAAATCATCAGACTATTAAAGGTTCAAATAAAACACGAACCGCTTTCGTCCTGGACTCCACTCTGTTGGTTTGAGCCACTGAGCGTACTCCAATTAAACCGTCCACCAGTCACAGCAAAGAGTGCATGCAGCAAACACAGCAAGACAACAGCTGCAGGGGGAAAATGAGGACAACATTTCAATGAAAATAAGACAAAGTAGTGCTTTTGTTTTTTTGAGGCAAATCAATTTGAGCATTTTATGTCTGCTTTGTAATTTTTACTTGGACATAAGCTTCAATATAATACAAATTTACCCAAACAAACTCAGCTTTAGCTCCAAATGTTTAATCAAATAGTTTTGAGACTAAATTTTACACAAACTGGAAAAAAAAAATACCCTCAATCTTTCTTTCTTCAGCATGTAGACCCTCATCCACCTGCCTCTAAAATATCCTGATTCTTTTTTATTCTTACCTTTCATATTGAGGCTGAAAAATATGAAGAACCAGTCTGCAAACTGATCATGAGACAAATGTTTGTGCGTATATACTTTTCAGGGAGCCCCTCCTTTATCACACCTCATTTTTTAATTCCTCCTCTATGCACATCACTCCTCCTTATCCTTTTATTTTATAATCTCCTCCCTGTTTTCTTTTATTACTCTTTAAACCGCTGACTTTCCTTTTGGCATCACTAGGGGCACTTGTTTCTAAAATCTCACACACCAGCCAACACACACACCCTCCAGGTCTTTGTTGATCTTTCTTTGTATCAGGAGTTGATAACAAGACCGGTAGTCCACGTGCTCTTTAGAAAAGAGGCTGCAGGATTCAAGATTTCCTCAGGACAGGATAGTTTTCTACTTTCCATCACTCCACCTTTAATAGGCTCGGGTCCAGAGAAATCTCGAATGTTTCAGGATCACGTTTAGACCTGTTTTCCTCTTTGCACCCATTGTAAATTAACCTCATTAGTTTGAGATGCTCCTTTATGAGTGTTTTTACAACTTCACTCCTGCTTAGCTGTTATTCTGAAAACCTTTTAAAACATTGTTGGCATCTAAAATGAGGATATATTTTTCATACAGATGATATATGGTCTAGCTGAATGGTGCGTCCTGGACTGTGGGGGGACGACGACTCTGTGTTTATATCAGCGATGACTGGTGCTGCACTGTTCACTGATAGAGTTCATGATTATCAAGTGCCGGCCATTCTACCTGCCAAGGGAATTTACTGCTATTCTGCTGGTAGCAATATACATTCCCCCCACCTCCACCAACAACAGGAGTGAGGCTCTGAATGAACTCCATAATGACATCATGGAGCAGCAGACAACCCACCCTGATGCCTTCCTCATCCTGGCTGGGGACTTCAACCATGCAGACCCAAAGAGCATGTTTCCACAACTCCATAGTCATATGAACTTTCCCACAAGAGGCACCAATATCTAGACCGCTGATTAAGGTCACAAAACCAGCCAAGAGGGAGATCCATGTGTGGCCTGAGGGGGCATCAGAGGCACTCCAGGACTGTTTTTCCACAACAGACAGGAGCATATTCAGACTGGCAGACACCCACAACAACACCACAGACCTCCAGGAGTACACAGAGACCTTCACTGCCTACATAAGGAAATGCATGGAAGATGTCACGGTCTCGAGAAACATCTCCATCCGGGCCAACCAGAAGCCATGGCTGACAGAGGAAGTCCACGGACTCCTGAGGGCTCGGAATGCTGCCTTCAGAGCTGGGGACGAGGAGGGCCTGAGGACAGCCAGGGCAAACCTCTCACGTGGCATCAGACAAGCCAAGAGACAGTACTCCAGGAGGATCACTGACCGCCGTGTGGTGCAAGGACAACAATCTCCTCCTGAATGTGGAGAAGACCAAGGAGATTGTAGTGGACTTCAGGAGAGAGCAGGCTCAGCATGCTCCACTAACCATCGATGGTACTGCAGTGGAGCGGGTGAGCAGCACTAAGTTCCTGGGTGTACACATCTCCCGAGACCTGTCCTGGAACACCAACACCACATCTCTGGCCAAAAAGGCCCATCAGCGACTCTACTTTCTCCGCAAACTAAGAAGAGCAAGAGCCCCGACCCCCATCATGCCCACCTTCTACAGAGGCACCATTGAGAGTATCTTGTCCAGCTGCATCACCCTGTGGTACGGCGCCTGCACCGTTTCCTGCCACAAGACCCTGCAGCGCACTGTGAGAGCAGCTGAGAGAATCATGAGAATCATTGGTGTCTCTCTTCCCTCTCTACTGGACATTTATGACACCCGCCTCACCCGCAGAGCCATCAGGATTGCAGGTAACCCCACCCACCCATCTCACAGCCTTTTCAGCTCACTGCCGTCAGGAAGGAGACTGCAGAGTCTCAGAGCCAGAACCAGCAGGCTCAAGGACAGCTTCTTCCACCAGGCAGTCAGGATGCTCAACTCCCTCCCTGCTCTGCCCCCATCCTCTGTCCACCACTGACTCTGGGTTACAGACTATTTTGTACTCAATTTGCATTATCCACTATCCACTACACTGCACTATTCAACAATCCAACAATCCACTGAATATTTACTTGACCACAGAATGTCTTACTTGTAAATTGCACATTGTATATATGTATTTATTGTAGTATTTAGTGTATTTTTGTAATTACCTTTTTTTCTATCTGTCTTTTATTTGCACTGCGGGTCCGAGAGGACTGTAATTTCATATATGCTGTATGCTGTCATATAGCATATTTGACAATAAAGCTGACTTTGACTTTTGACTTTGAAATATCCCAGTGTAATGTTTGATATGTTATATTTGCTCTGTTTTTATTTAATTTAGGCTTCAAACAAACTGTTACATTCTGTTTTACTAACTGCTGGTGCAGCTGTATTGATGAATAGTAGGTTTTGGTTGTACACAGGCGCTGTTTTGAATTCTTGGTGCAGGAACCCGATAAAAACTTGGATTAAAATGGACCATTCCATCCAGATCTAGTCCTGACTTTACTAAGAGACCATAGGAGTAAAAAATATACAGTTATGCACAGAAAGATCCAACGAGTCAGGGTCTACAGCCATAGAGACTTTTATTTCTTGTTCATTTATATGTTTGTCACAGATTTCTACTACAGTTAATTCCAGATTCAAAGTACAAAATTAATTTGGCAGGTACATAAATATTTTACAGCACTTTATATACTTTATTTTGTCTTGAACAGTGTTCTGGTAATGCACTTGCATATGAACCCCCAGGTGAAAATAATACAAGCAAACTGGAGGTGAGTTTGGGACTGCAGTTAAATAAAAGCATACAAAAACCACCAGTTCTGACAGTTTCGGTGCACCACTCAAACCTGGCAGACGCAGGATGAGTTGGTTGATACCTCAGAGTGGCTATGTTTCTCTAACTTAGTCAGTGGCGTACAGCAGGAAGCCGGTGAAAGTGTTATAATGGCTGCTGTCATCGCAGAGGAAACATCCAATTGGCAGGTTCACGGCTACTTTGTCCTCGGCCGTCAGATGGACCGCCAATACAATGGTGGCACTGTCCTCTTGGTCTTGCATGTTCTTCTCTCTGGGTCCAGCCACCACCATTCCGTTTATCAGCAGACCGGCACAGGCAGCCAAGGTGTTCCCGGGCGAGCCGGCGTCACTGTAGACGGTGAGGGCGAGGCTGTAGACACCCGAGCGGGGCACGGTGAAGATCCCCGTGTTCAGGTCGAAGTTGCCTCCTAGATTGATGAAGACGTGCTGATAAGGGATGAGCTTGTCGTCTCTGAAGGGGCCGAAGCAGCTGAGTTTGTTCTGATTGGTCAGAGCGACAGAGAAGGCGCTGCGGCTGGCTGTGGGTACAGAGGAGAGGGGAAACACGTTATGGAGGAGGGTATAATCCTTTAGTGAAGCTGAGAGTGTCATGAAGCTTCTGCAGAACTGTCAGAAAACCTGCATCAAAGCAGATCACGTCCCTCACTGTTCAGACCGACATTCAACACCAAGTAGGAGTCAGAGTCCATCAGGGAAAAATGGGGACTCAAGGGTTTAATCAGTGCATTAAAAGTTTTTTTAAACTGATGTAACTTTCAGAGTCTGACTATCTGAATCCAGAGGTGCTTAACTGGAATTCCCCCTAAAGCCCATAAAGCAGGTCCAAGAAGAGAGGATCAAGGGGAGAGGAGGGAAATCAGAGGAAAGATTGGAGAGGATACACAAGAGCTGGCTTCTCTGAATATATCTATCACTCCAGGACTTCAATCATGCAAATTTTCTCTCTTACAACACAGTTAAAGGCTATTTAGCTTTGGATTTTCAAACAGCAATGATGCCACATGCTCCTCTCTGGTTCCTCACACATTATGTCTCACCTCTGACATTATTGAGAACGGTCTTGGTTTTCGTCAGCTCTGTCTCCAGCGCGCTCAGGCTCATGTTGAAGAACTCCTTCATCCTGTGGATTTGCTGCTGCATCAAACAGCAGCCGCACGATGCCTGGTCTGTGATACACACTGAACACACACAAAAAAGGGGGTCCTGGATTAGACTAGGGCTGACATTGAAAGATTAGAGTTAATACAGCAACAAAACTAGAGGTTACTAATTATATATATATGTGTATATATATATATATATATATATATATATATATATATATATATATACTTTTAATCAACCAGAAGTTGTAAAATACTTTACAATGCAATTTGTAAACATATAGTGTGACCATCATTACATATGAGTGGACTGTATGAGTAAACTGTGTTTCTTGTTGAAGTTTATGTAGTCATATGTTGCTCCACCTCTGTCCTCCTTCCCTAAATGTGACTGATGATGTTACAAACTTTTGAAGTTTTCCATAAGAGATCACTATCAGGATATTTTGTGATACTGTTGACATGAAAACCTGATACACAAAATATTTCTGGACAATATCTCACCATTTTCTGTGTTGGAATCAACAGCTCCAGTTCCTGTGTTTCCAGGTCCACCCCAGGCAAAATTATTCACCTGGCCGAGGGCAGCTTTCAGCAGACACAGCAACACGATCGCTACAGTGAACAAGAGCAAATGCATGAAAAATCACCACTTCCATGGGCGCAATAAATTCATACTTGCATCCTTGTCCTTTTATGTATGCAGTCTCACCTCTCATGATGATGCAGGTAACTGATGCTGGTTTCAGGTAGGTTTCAGTAGGTGTGATGAGCTGATGTAGAGTGACCCCTGTGTATATATACTGTATGTTCACCATCACTTTAAGTCCTCAAGCCTCCTGCAGCTCCTCCCACTTTAACCTAAAGTATAAGCTTTCTTTTCCCCTACACGTATGCACACCTGTGTGCATTTTCTTTGTGACTGGGAGCTCCACAAAAATACACACGCACACACACACACATGCTAACACATACCCTCCAGGCTTTTGAGCCGCACATGTAGGTCAGGTATCAACTATCCTCTGAGGAAAAGTGTCCCATCAGCACACAAAGAAGCAGATTTCCCTGTTTTTAGATGTGCTTTTTGTTTATCACATAGATTTTTGCTCAGAAATACAGTTTAAATCATGTTCATCTGTTTTCATTCTGTTATCACTGGTGTGAAATGAGATAGCGGCCTGTGTATGTTTTGATAATATTTCAACACATAAAACTTTTTTTACATGATCTTGAATTTGAAATTCCTTTAAAAAAAAATTAAAAGCCCACAGTGATTTTCTGTTTTCCAGATTTATCCAACTTTTCCCAATCAGAACATGACACGACAACCTGTTAGTATTACATGTAAAATGAGAGTTTCAGTGTCAGGCCATGAATAGAGTCAGATTACTGGATTTTAGGATCATGGAGAGAGGTTTGTAGAGGTTTGAAATAAGAAAGAAAAAGACTAAAATGTTTTCAAAGGGTTCAGTAAGAGATGAGGTGACCACCACTGTTAAATTGAATATGTGAATAAAGAAATCAGGACTCTGCAGAGCTGAGAGACTGAAATTGACAAACAAAACTCCATAGCAGGTCATGGGGTTGGTATCAGATCCTCATGGGGATACTGGAGATCCTGCAGATAACATAAGAGTGAAGGAAAGCTAAAAGCATCCAGGTCACTGCTGTTTGGAGTCAAAGATGGACCAGTTATTCCTCTAGTTATGAAGTAATGGAGGCCACTGCTGTACGCTCCTGCATAATACATCGTCATATATTTTTGAGTTCATGCAAAGTTAAATGTTTTTAATCTTCTGTGTTTTTTTATAATCAAAGCTAAATTAAAATGGCATTAACATTAAAATGACATTAAAAAACGGACAATCATCACAACTTTTAGCAGGTTTTCTTTTGCAACAATACTTTTTATTTTCATATAAAATTCAATCCAATGAGCAGACAGAAACTTCTGACCTGACTCCTGCCCAGAACCTGAACCCAGGGTACAGTGGGCCGGCAAACTGGGTCTGATACCGATGAATGAGATCAGCCTGGTTGTGAGAGATGCGGTAAAAAGCCAGAATCCCTGCGTGCTGGTCCAGGTAGACCCCGATACGTCTGGCTTTTGGTGAACCCAGGAGTTTTTCTTTGCTGTCGTGCCAGAAGGAGAAGCCAGTTCCAGACCAGTACAAGCTCCAGGACTGGTTATTGTGGCCCAGGCGGCTTTTGTCGTCTGAACCTTTACGATCCATTTCCTTGTTGGCAACGCCAATGGTGACCTGAGCAAGTGAAAGAAGCAAATGAGACAGTCAAAGAGGGAAATCCTACAGATCCTACTGGTTTGACATATGAAACAAGTAACAGAATCAACATATCCCATGTCCTCACCTTCTGGCCAGTCCACTCCACCTCCCAGTAGTATGGACTCCCAGCCAGTGGCTCCCTGCAGAGGACCTGTCTCCAGAAGTCAAAGCGCTCAGGATGGTCTGGAGGGTTCAGGTTCTCAGCCCGTAGCGCGGCCTTATGACCTTCATCGGACAGCTGGATGTGGCGATATGCTGTGTTTGGGTCCATGGTGGGTTCAAAGCGGACTGTAAGGAGAGGATGTGATCAGATTTGTACTGCAGACCGCCTTAAAGAGTTCACACTAAGATCTAAAGTCTTATGTAGGAAATCATAGACTCACATTTCAGTAATTCTGCTCTGGTCTTTGGGTCTGGATTAGCAAGTCCCAGTTTTGTTGGAGGAGGAGCTAAAAAGGGAAAATCAAGTAGAACAGAGTGTTTGAATGAAGTTTCACACATAACCCTGATGCATGGAGGCACTTTGTCAGGTTTTGTTTTTACCTTGTGGTTGAGGAGGACAGTAGGGTGGTGGGGGAGCAGAAGCTTCAAATCCAGAGAGAGAAAAGACATATTTAAAAACTCACGCTGACTCTGTGTGTTTTGATGTTCTGTAGTCAGCTCTGTTTCTTACCATGGAGACTCCCGGGACGCTCAGATTGAGATTTGGATGATGGCTGGTGGCCTGAGGGGTGAGAATAAACCAGCGAAATATAAATGTTAACGCGGAGTGGTGCTTAAATCAGCAAATCAGTGTTTGATTCATGTACCATGACTGTGCAAGAAATGAAATTCCCAAAGTGACTCAACTTGAGGTCGTGGAGGAGGTAAAGGTGGAGGCTCTGATATCATCTCATAGACTAAAAGACAACAATAAAAGAGTTTTACAATCTCACAATCCTGTTTTTGGTTTTCACCAAGAATAAAATATCAGTTTGACTCTTTTGTGCTTGTCTAACACTGATTTCATTTACTCTATACCTGCATTTTTTGCACTGGACTGTCCGCCTCCATCAGCTGTACCTGCTGCTGCTGCTGCTGCTGCTGCTGCTGTTTCTGTTTCTGTTTCTGTTTCTGTGTTTGTGTCCGTGCCATTGGCTGCTGCAGCCTCTGGGTCCTGATTCACTGCACAAAGAGAGAAAGTTTTGATTTACTAGAGAAGAAAAGTTGATGAGAGGAAGAAGTTATAAGAGGAATACTAACATAACGTGCAGATCCTGGTCAGGCTTCCTTTGCATTGCTCCTGGATTGCCTCTTGCAGCTCTTTCAGGACCGAGCGGATGGTCGATACTTCCACTTTCTCCAGACTTGTTATTGGCTCTCCTGTGGAACCAGTCTGACCCGGTGGCTCCATGGTGAAGAAATTCTTTAGGAAAAACTCATCTCTCATTATCACAATAATTTTTTTAATGTTTTCATTAAAAGCTGTTCCCAGCTGTACTGCATACCTTCAGGAAGCAGACGTGGTCCTGCATGCCGGCCAGCCTGCTCAGCTCCTCACTCTTCCAGCGCAGCTGTACGGCCTCCTGCTCCAGTCTGTTGACCTTCCCCTCCACCTGACTCCCCAAAGAGGCCTCATAGGTGCCGAGGAGCTCCCCTATGTGGATACCCGTTTGGTTCACTTTCTTGACAAGCTCAGAGAACAGATCTGAGCTCTCCTGCTCAAGAGCCTGAACCAAGGCCTGGAGAGAAAGAGTAAGAAAGAAGTGAGGTGAGGAAATACTACAACTTTAATTCCATAGGAGTTAGAAAACTGTGTAAAACAGAATCTGATGGTTTGTACATTATTTAATGCATCTTTCTAAAAGGTTTTTACAGGGATGTTTCCCATTGTGATTCACCAGCTTATCTTTTACCAACACTCTGTAAAAATATGTGAACCCAAGAAACAAGTTTCTGGAGTTTGGAAAGTTAAATGTTGTTCCCTGATAGAGGATTTTAGCTGCTTTGTCAGTTTTTCGTGAGATGTTGCTCAGACAAGTTAGCACTGCAGGCAGGCCAGTTTCTCAGCAGGACTCTTCTACTACAGAGCCATGCTGTTGTAATCCCTGCAGAATGTGGTTCGTCATTGTCTTGCTGAAATACGACAGTCTCTATTTGACATGTGAGTAAACATAATGAGGGGCGTGATTGTTTACCTTGTGTTGGCGGGCAGTGTGTGGGAGCACATTGAGCTGTTTTTTAGTTTCCTGGATCTTCTTCTGTGTGTCTGCCTGCATCTGGACTAACTCTTTCTGGACACACACAAACATAATTCATTTCATAGGACAGAAAAAAAGAAAAAAAAGGGACATAACAAACATATTGAGATATTTATAATGTCAGAGAATATTTCTGCTTGAATGTCCCTTTAAAGAATTAACAACACTTTTATTCATATAACAGGAAAGCAGAGTAAAGGTGGTTGTTTTACAAGTACTTCAAGTTCAGCTACATTGTGGAAATGCTGTACCTGTGAAAACAGCTCTTGATACACCTGCCGTATTTTGCAAGATAAACAAGACAGAGAAAAACTCAAACAAAACAGCACTAACAAGGATTTTTGACTCTAGTACATACCTGTCTCTCCCTCCTTTCCTCCTCTGGTTTCAGCACTTGGTGTCCTTTATGTCCATGCTGGCAGCACTCCTTACACACACACTCTTTGTCATCACGGCAGAACAGGTCCATGGGTTGGTTGTGTTGGGGGCAGGGTCTTGGCTCCACAGAGGGAATTTGAGGGTAAATGCTGCCCTGTCTCTGCACTGTAGCAGGCAGAACTTCCATGTAGACTGGCATGGACGGCGGGGCTGAGGAGGGGCTCTGTTTGAAGCTGTTGGTTCTCAGTTTCTCCATGGCCTCTACCAGCACTGTGCTCTTTGCCAGCGAGGGCCGAGGTTTGAAGACCTGCCTGCATTGAGGACAGCTGCACTCACCTTTGCTGTCTTTCTTGTCCCAGTGGCTCTGGATACAGGCCAAGCAGTATGTGTGTCCACAAGGCAGAGTGGCTGGGTCCTTCAGGGTGTCCAAACATACCGAGCAGACAAAGGTCTCCTCTTCAGACCAGGCAGAGGCCATGTGGAGCTGGGTGAGACAGATTACTTAAATGTTAAATCTGGGTTTCGCTCCTTAAAAAGGCTTCCAAAACTAGAGAGAATGTTTCTGAGTCCTCGTACTAAAATAAAAAAATCTTGAGGATGGCAAGGCTGAAATGCCAGTTCACATGAATCACATGCTGCTTAAAATCTCAGGCTGCCTGGTCTCAGGGTGGGGCTGGAAGAACAGGTGAGGTGACGAGTTTCGCTTGTTTGTGTCATAGGTGCTTTCCAGCTCCTTCAAAGATGCACTGCGGGGTTTTTTGAACTTAATACACAGTGAAAATAAATCCTAGATTAAAGTGAGATCCATGAAATGTTTACAGTTAAAGAGAGTGTTTCATAGATTTTATGAAGCAAACATTAAACACAGACACAGTGACACCATATATTAAAGAAACAATAGAGTATTTCACACGAGAGTCGATTTTTAGCTTTATGTGACATTTTTTTTGCTATGTTTTTGAATCTTATGTAATATATCACTGTTTTATAAAATTTATTTGCATTTCAAGACATTTTTACACTTTGTGAAATGTTCAAGATTTGGAAAAATTGTTTTGTTTTGTGAAATATTTTTGTGTTTCCAAAAACTATTGGGCATTTTGTGTTTTTTTTTTTTTCTTTTTTAACATATTTAATGTTTAGTGAAATATTTTTCAGTTTTATAAAATGTATAAATTTTGAGAAGGATTATTAGTTTTTAGGTTAGATAGTTTGGGTGGAAATGCCCCTTCTTATTTGGTCAAATGTTTATATTAAAATGTTTGTGGAGTTGACTTCCACGGCCACCATACATTCAAGTCAGGTAGCTTTCAGACCTCTAAGGATTTGATTTGTGACGCTAATTGCAAACGGAAGGGGAATTCCTCGATGACTTTACCACAAACTAATGCAAACTTTTTAACGCACACACACCCTGCATGAGTTTGCTGGCGAAATGGAAAGAATTGTGCAATCACAAAGGCGTCATTATAGCGCAGTAAGGGCAATACTGATGCGCTTGAAGCCGCTCGGCGCCATGTTGACTACTGGCAGCCGGCTAGCCGGTTGAGAGGCTCGATAAGAATTGACATAACTTTTAAGGTGAGCGCTTATCCTTCAGAAATCGAGGTTTTATTTATAAATTTTTGACTCAGACGTTGACTCTCACTTTGCATAAGTCTTGTAAGGATTTTCTAAATTCACCTGTTTGATGGTTTAGTGTCGGCCGACTTCACTGACCTAGAGTTGTTTTGTGTTAGCATGCTAGTTAGCCTGCTGTGATTCAGCCACTGACTTACATGCTAAAGAAAATCCTGACGGCCAAAACAAGTCAATTTTACGTGTTTCACACTGAAAGAGGGGAAACCAAGAAGAACGTGTATGTCATAGTGTGTCTTTAAATGTCCTGTGAACATAGTTAAGTTAGCTAACCAGCAACAGAGAAACTAAAGTTTGGCAGGAGTGGAAGTAGTGGCAAAGCTAGAGACAAACAGATGACCTTTGGGGGTTTGTGGAAGCATTTCCCTCATTAGAATTAAATGCTGTTGTTTTTGCATCAAAGGGACACTTTAAAGGACTGTTAAAGTATATGAGATGTGGATTTCAGTGAAGCTAAGAGCCACACAAGACCTCATCCTCACCTCCTGCTCTACAGGCAGCTACAGGTGGAGTCTGAGGTTCAACATTAACCACTGAATCAATCAACTTATACTTAATAGATCATTCACATTGGTAACATGTCAATTTATGGAGGTAAACAAAAGAGCTTGTCTGATAGTTTCACAACCTTAAAGTCCAGTTCGGTGATGTTTTTGATAAACTTAATCAGCACTACACCTCAATACCAAGTGATAGATGGAGGTGAGACATTTAAGGGTTCATGCCTGTAGATTCGATCACCATAGTCCAAGTTGTTAATGCTGTTTTTTTTTTTCTTTACAGGATGTTTAGAGGCCCTCAGCTCCTGACTTGGTCTTGCCCCATAAGACCATTGTTGGGATTGAGAGAATCCCACCTCTCTGCCTTGTCTGAATACACTGACGCTGCTACAGATTTCAGTGAAAAGAGATGTATCTGTGAAAGCCAGAGGAGGTCATCATTGTCCGCAGAGACTTTATCCCCTCCAGCACAGCTGTATTTATGTAGCCTGGACTGGGAAAAACACCAGCTGAAAAAAGCCTCATTTCAAAACCTCATATCAAAAGCCATTTTATCAAGCCCACATCAGAGCATAGCCTCTGTTAGATCAAAGTCTGATTCTTGGAAATGCACTTTTATTGGAGATTTAGGTCAAAATATCAAACCTGTGAGTGTCAACACAACGCAGCTCCAACCTGTGAGGAGGCTTTTGGACACTTACCAACCTTCACTTCATATAACCAGTAAGACTTTGCGCAAATATCCTCACAGCAGTTTATATGGCATGCAATTCTCAGTTAGACCCTTTAGCTCATGGAAACGTACAGCATGGACTTTTATCCACTCTCACAATGGACCATACCCCTCCAGCTTCAGTTTTGACCAAAACAGAGCTCTTCACCAGGCTGCTCCTCACACCATCAATGGCTGGAAACATTGTCTTTCCCTGGAAAATGAGCAAAGGTGTCGACAGCGCCTGGGGTTTAATTTGAAGCTTTATGAGGCAGACAAGATAGACAAAGGGCAGAGTCAGGGAAAGAACCAGGTGAGATGGGCTTCAGTCCTGGTCTGCCTCTGCTCTGTTGAAGGGGAGCCTTCGTTTCTCTTCACTCTGCGCTCCAGCATGCTGAAGGGCAGGCACAAAGGAGACGTCAGGTTAGTGTTGCAGCAGGTTAGCAATGCAGCAGGGTAGAAAATAGATTGAACTGTTGTGTTTGTGATTTCATTTCCAATCATCTGTAGCTTTGCAGGAGGAAAGAGGGACCCGTCAGACAAAGATGTGGTGGCCACAGCGCTGAGGGAAGCCAGGGAGGAGCTGGGTGTTAATGTGCCAATGGAGAGAGTGTGGGGTGTCCTGAAGCCTCTCAGAGACAAGGTGAGTGAATGCTATTTAAATTTTTAATTTTCAAAACCTAATACCCACTTCACTCATGTACTGCTCTGCTTTAAAGGAGACCGATTAGACTCATTTTCATCTTTTATTCTGTCAGTCAGGGACACCTTTGAATTATTTATTTCTAAGAAATCAAGTATCTCATTTAATTTTTAGACTAAAGCTGTGTCTATTTGGTCTCTCTTACTAGACAGGGTTGTTGATCGCTCCTGTGCTGGCGAACCTTGGCCCTTTAGAGGAGGTGTCCTTTGAGCCAAATCCTGGAGAGGTAATATGATCCATTTCTATTTTTGTCACCTTTTAAATGTCTCAGTTTTGTGTTCAGACATTGTTGACTGTGTACATTTTCCCAGAGTAAAATTTAAAATATTTATATTTTATTTCTATTTATTTATTTATTTAGCACAGATTAAAAACAGTACAAGGAGGGAATGAAGCCGATAGGCTTATACAGAGTTCCACTGCCATCAGGGCAGTGAAGGCATAGGTGGAAACAACAAAGTAATTTGGACGTAGACGGGTTTTAAATATACAATGAGTAGGGAAAGGTCAAAACATATACAAATGTTCATAAATAGAACATAGACTAATCACCAACCAGAGATAGAGACAATATAAGTACACATAAAAAGGAAAGAAACATGAAAATAACAGATAATGATGTGTTTTAAGACATGATTAGATGAGATTTCAATGATATTTTAAAGGATTTGAAGGATAATATTGATTTTAGAGATACATCCAGATCAAAATTAAAATATGTGGGGCTTCCTGTGGATGATCTCCTGGCTAAATGATGAGATCAGGTCATCTTATGTCAATAAATAAATGATCTGTCTTATTTAACTCTAACAAAATAAAACAAATTTATCCTCAAAGGAAAGTAAGCAATCAAAAACATCCTGATTGTTTTCCTTCTAGATTGGAAGTTCTCACTTGTCCCTTCTTTGTTTCTCTCTCAGGTGGAGGAGATTTTCACTGTGTCCCTGCCCCATCTGTGCAACCCAAAGAACCGTGGCTACACACACTTTCGCACAGGTGACAAGTACGGATACACTCTCCCAGTGTTTCGGAATGGGAAGCACCGAGTTTGGGGTCTGACAGCCGTGGCTTTAGACCAGACCCTGAAATTAGTTGTACCTCCTTAGCAGCCTATTCAGGGCTACTTTACAGTCTGAAGTTCACTGACAGTACCAAAGCACACCCTGCCAATCATGTGATCTAAAAATCTGATTATGAAAATGTGAAATCAAGCTTTGTGTAGCAAAATCACATCAGGTATTACTGTATTTCAAAATATAGTCATCCATTTATTTATTAATGAGGGTAAACACTCAAACTCCGTTCACAATCACAGTCGAGAGATATTTTTTTTCCACCTCCACACTCTGAATTTTAGTTAATGGTGTGGGGGGAAAGGTTGTTGGCTGATGTTACTGATACAGAGCAAGGCTGGAACTTTTTCGGAATGTTACAAGTTACAACCAAAACATGGACTCTGTAAAATGTTGATAAAAACATATTTTGATTATAAGCCTATCAAAGCCTATTTTTTAAATTTGAAAGTAGTGCAAAGACAGCATGTCAGGAGTTGAAACAAAAAACATCTATAAGTTTAATGCTAGCATCACATTTCGAATAAAGCCGTTCTGCATGAAAAACAGACATGACTCTGTAGTGGAAATCACTGCATGGGCTCAGAATTTAGTCTGTTGTCTCTGTACTTCTTTATATGAAATACAGGCTTTGTAAACCCTCAGATTCAGTTTTTATCAATGTCTTATACAGCATTTCAGCTCTTAGAGAACTGTGGTATAAAATTTTTGATCAGTGCTGAATTTTTACAGTATTTTCAGTACAACTGGCTGCTTAAATTTTAAGTTCTTATAAGTCTGTCTTATGGACCACTGAGAAACACAAAAGTTTAACCACTTCATCACTGACAAAGCTTAACTAAAGTTTGACCTCAACTCAGAAGCACCCCTACAAAAGGTCATGGTTTCCAGCCCTATTCATCCAACTCTCCTTCTTTCACTACGGATCAAATATGGACTGTTCTCTGGGAAACAGAAACTTAAAGCACATCGTGTGGTGTGTTGATGAACAATGCAATAAATAATGTTTTAATTTGTGTACTCTATATTGTTTATTCTTTTGTAAGAGGTGAGAGCTGTTTTTACAAGATTAAATCACAGTAATAAATATAATTTACAACCATTTGATTGAGGAAGGGAGATTTTAAACTTTCATTTTTTTCTGGCAATTGAATCAAATTTAAAAAATGTATCTATGTATGTACAGTCCAGACTGTGAAGAATTACTTCTGTTGCACAATTTTAAAGTGTTCGCTGCAAGTCTTAAAGGCTGAGGTGCTTAAAATAATCTGCTTTCACCACAGCAAGTCCTGAATTTTGTCAATCTGCTGGGCCCAGTTCTGCAAAATGCAACCCCTTTGGTCCTTGTTCTGCAAATCTGGTATGAATAAAAAGTAAACCAGAGTGTAGACAATCATCTGGGAGTATCAAGGCAGTGAGCACTCCATGGGGTCCTGTGAGTCCAGCAGGAGGTGGCAATTGAAGGGCCAGGTAAAGGAGAAAAGATCCAGGGTATGGCTGCACTGCTGCTGAGCTGCCGAGCAGACCGAGCGGCATGGCTGCAAGACGCCGCCTTGAGGGCTGCACTGGGGCAGAAACATCCCACACACGAGCCTCTGCAGTGGCTCAAAGCACGCCAGCGCCATCAACACCTGAACCAGAACACACGATTGAATTTCACAGAATAGACAAGTGGCATGAAGCTTTAAGTTTATGCACTGTGAGTAATAAACAGAGGGTCAAAGTTATAGCATTGAGAGGAAATCAGCAGCAGCAGTAAGATATGAAGGATGGGTTTACTCTGTATGGTTGCAGGAGTGTTGCAGCTTCTCTCTGATCAGCAATGGATAGCCAGATGTTTGGGAATGACGTGAGGTTGTAGCTGAGGCCTTGGCACATCTCCACCTCAATAGACTCGCATGAAGAAACTAAAGATGAGAAAAGAGAATTTGATTTTACTTTTTAAATTTCCCTTCTGGATTTCAGAGCTTAAAGGAAACTATCAGTTTTAAATTCAAATTGTTTCATCACACAAACTCTGTGACTCCTGCCTGTGCACCATGAATGTCATTTTCTCCTTAACTATTCCAGTGTAAGTCTCCCCAGTTGTCTACGTCTGAGAGTCAAGTTTATACACTCCATGAACAAAAACTACAGTGTCTGTAACTTTGGGTGGAACACTGATCCAGGTCAGAGATAACTGGGCCTCACCAAAGGTGGGGTAGGTGGAGTTGCCACAGCTTTGTTCATCTGCACCATCGGGACAATCGTTCCATCCATCACATAACCACTGCTGCTGGAGACACTCCCCGGTACTGCAAGCGAACTGGCTGGGACCACATGTTCCTGTTCACAAAGACGCAGCACAAAAGCAAGGGTTAGAGAGAAAAACATGATGCAACTGGTGTAGAAGAAAAGCCATCAGGTATATGTGTTGATGATTTTTGAGGTTTTCCTCCATCTATACTGTTGTAGCTGCAGATGTTCTCTGCACTTTTTGGCCTGTTCCTCCCCCCGTGTTGTTTTCAGCCCTAAGGTGAACCCACTATTTGTCAGTTAGGAGCACCTGCCTTGTGTCTCAGCCCTTAGAAGTTCTGGACCCACCATGTCAAGTAGAGTCCCATTGCTGTCATTGCAGCTCAGAGGAGAAAGGGGGGAAGCTAGAGGGGAATTACAATAGCATCCTCTGTCTGTCAAAGTGCTGGACTCTGCTAAAGCTTTATATCATCACCAGAGTTTAATAATCAAAAAGACAGATTTCAGAAAAGGAGTCGGGTAAGCATCTTTTCTAAGATCATTTTTTGCCACCTCTTTGAATTAAAGTGAGGTTGAAAGGATAAAGGAGAGGATTGGAGGAACTATGGAGATAAAGATGAATAAAATTTAAAGGAAACAACAAGCAGGTTTCAAAGAATTATCCTTAAATGAGCTTGGACTCACTGTCCTGCACAGACACAGCCTGGTATGTTGCGTTGAAGCCGCTGTCAGCCACGCCTTCATCAGCCACAAATACCACTGTCATGTGGGGGCCAGAGGACGTCAGATCAGGAGGGAGGGTGGTCCCACAAAACCTGAGACAGGGACACACCAACAAAAGCTGCTCCAGAACATCGAGGTGATATAACTCACATAAAGACGAACAAAAAAGGATCCTCAATAAATAAGATCTCTACAATTTTAGTCTTTAACCCTTCATGAATGCACACTGTCACCTGTGGAGGGCCTCACCTTCCAAGCACTCTTCCAGCTCCAGGATCAGTGCTATCGTGCACCTCCACGTAATCAAACTCACACACATCCTGAGTCTCCAGGCTGAAGTTCTTGAAGCTGAGTGTAATTACGTGGCCCTCCTCCACAGATACAGACCATGTGCAAAACTGGTGGGAATCAAACAGACAGGAAGTAAGAGAAAACACACACACTTCACAGGCCTGATGAAGAGTGTTTGGAGTGTGTTTGGCAGTGTAATGTGTACCTGCTGGTGAGGGTATGGCTTGGGGTGGTTTGGACTTGACAGGTACCCATGTGGTCCGGTCTTCTGGCCACCACATTCTGGAGAAATCAGGAAAACAATCTGCACTTTTTTCACAGCCTGTAAAAGCATGTTGTTGCCTTTATCATACCAAACTCTTACCTTTGTGTTTATGGCTGCAGTTTGCCTCGTCTGTTTGGTCCTGACAGTTTGGATGACTGTCACACACAGATATTGGAAGCAGACAGCGACCGCCGTCACACATGAACTCCTCTCTGGAGCAGCTCTCTGAGAAATCACACAGTAGATGCATTCACAGATGCATGTCAGTTCAAACAACAGAGAGTAAGTGTAAGTGCAGATGCACAAACTTGAACACTACTGACTGTGTCCTGGCAGTATGGCCTTGTATTGTGCAGTGAAGCCGCTGCCTGAAATGCTGCCATCCGAGCGAAAGGTGACCCACACTGTGCTGCTGTTTGTGTTGACTGTCGGTGGTGCTACATTACCGCAAAACCTGCAGAAGACGATAAGAGACCTTCAAATTATCTGAAGCTTTTATTCACATAATCTGTTTTTCTCTCCATGTCACACCTTTAGAGTCCGACTTTTGTACTGCAAATTCTTCAGAGGATCTGTGAGCAAGTTACATTTTTAATACCATGAATCATGTTACAAAACTTTACAAGAATGCAGGGTCAAAGAATCTGAGTGTTCACATGGTCGGAAATATTTCAAGAGGCCTCTCAACCCCAAAAGCACTCTCCGATCATGCACAGAGGTTCAGTGACATCTAGTGGCAATTTAAGGAAACAACATGTACCATAAGACATCATGAAGTATTGGTGAGATAGGCTGAAAGGTTCTCTGGCGTGTTTGCACCTTCATTTTCAATCATGAGACGAAGAGGCAGTTAAATCCAGAGTCCTGACCCACCTGGTCACCACTGAACTTTGCTCCTTCTGCTCCTGCACCGCCAACCAGTCAAACAGACAGGGGGAAGGCCCTTCTATGGTCAGAGAGGTAATGTGGATCTGGACCAGCGAAGGGGGTGGGACACTGATCACCCAAACGCACAGCAAGTTTGGAGGGTACGAGCCGGGATGGTTTGGAGAATTGAAACTTCCCTCAGAGTCAGCCAAGACTCCTCCACAGCCTGAGACAGAGAGAAAGACCTGGTTTGACCCAAAGTTGACTGAAGGGTCTGCAGAGAACATGAAACTTTAAGTATGCACATTTCACTTGATAGATTATATTTTGCATGAATCTCATACCCGTGTCTGGTGGTGGGATTTTTGCAGGTTGTGGTGCAGGTGTGGTGTCCTGCTGACTTCTGTTGGCAGTGACTGTGGGTGAAGTCAGAGTCGCTCCACCCCCCACGCTCAGCAGATCTGGAGGACTGGTGGACGGCGGCTGATCCTCCACTTCCTGGCTTTTTATCTCTCAATTCACAAAGACACATGACACAGTTTAAGAATCCAGAGAGAAGCAAGTATGAGAAGGAAAAGCTCAACCTTAGATGCTTCGATGACTTACGTGTGAGGATGAGGGCCAGCGCCAGCCCAACAGCAGTTAACAGGAGCAGGGCAGCAGCAGAGATTACCACCACCCCCCATCCACCATCCGGGCCCCGCAGACGCATCGCACAGACACCAAACAGACCCCAACCAAGGCCTGAATTCACAAAATACCTCAGCTGAGTCTGTGTCCTCCATTTTGTTTAGTATTTGTGTGACACCCTTGATGTGAGGTCCTCTGAATATGATGAAAAACTAATGTTCATTTAAATGTGGGCCACTCAATAACCCATAAAGCTCCTGTGAGGAGTTTTGACATTAATGAAATGACTCAAATTCATATTGATGCCTTTTTATGTTTTACAGAAACAAACAAGACCATTGAAGACAAAACTAAGTCCTGTTATTTTATATTTCAAATAAAATGTGCACAATTAAAGATGAAATGATAACCAAGTCAGATTAACAAATTTGTTTGTCAAATGAAACTGCATGTAGAGGGCTGATATGTCTACAGGGGGCACCAAAACTGATACAAACCGAAAGTTCCCTACAGGAACTTTAAGGGTATTTTTTGCCACTTCCTCCTTATAATCCTGTCACTAAATCTAAAGGTGCATTCCTGTTCATTTTAACTTCTAAGTCGATTTTATCCACTTGTAACAAATGATAAATGTTTGTCTCATTCTTTTATACAGGGTATACAGATAAATAAATGCCAGACAGAAGAAAAACAACTAGAGCACATGTTAGCAGAGGTCAGTGCTAAGCAGTGCCCTGATTGGCTGACTCACTCGGTGTGGGAGGTTTGATTGGTTCAGGGGTGGACGATGATGTCCTGAAACCCTCCACCCTTTCCTCTCTCTCTCCCTCCAGCTCAAAGGCAGGATTACAAAACACATTCTGCAGAAAGAGGAACAGAAACACAGACACGAAACTGAAGAAAAATGTAGTTTTAGTCAAATATTCGACTGTAACTTCTGATTGATAGACTCTACCTTTTTTTCATAATCATGTTGCATCTGTTTGCTTGAGATCCAAACAGGCTTATTCAACAGTGTCTTCTGAGTTCACTGAAAGCTAACCTTTGAGCAAAAAATGTCTTACTTGCACATTTAGACAAAACTGTTTCTTTCCTTTTGTTTTGGAGTCATTTTTTTCTTCCTAGGTTATATGAATTTTCTCCTTACTCTCTCAGCTCTATACTTTGTCTTAAACAACTCTTCAACAAGTATCTGCTACACAAAATTAACCTGTCATTTTTTTTGTATCTGTGACATTGGTGCATTTGTATAAGTGTAATAATGAGAAAACATATTCTCTCTGTTAATGTTTCTGAACCAAGGAGACCAGTTTCTGGAGTCCTATTTTTGCCTGATTGTGGATTTTAGCTGCATCTTTTATGTCATGGTGCTTCAAATGTTTTCAGTCAGGACTTCAGACAGGTCAGTTTATCAGCAGGACTCTTCTACTACAGAGCCATGCTGTTGTAATACCTGTCGTCAGAATGTGGTTTGTCATTGTCTGAAATATGAAGGTCTTCTCTGAAAAAGTCTTTGTCTGGATGTCAGCAGATGTTGCTCCTAAACCTGTAGATATTGTTTAGATATTGTTGATATTGTGGGATGCTGGATTTGGACTGGGAGCTGAGAACATGCTAAGTGGTTCCTGTACTCTTTAAAGAGGAGGAGGAGGATGCAGGGTGACTTCCAAAAAAATGGTCAAGCTTTATTTTTTCAGGACAGTTGTCCTCTTCCACCTAGTCCATCTTTAATGGGCTCAGGTCCAGAGAAGTCTCTGGTGTTTCTGGATCATGTTTATATCTGTTTTCCTCTTTGCATGGTTCAGTTTGAACCTCATCTGTGGATGCAGTGATAAACTGTGTTCTGTATGTACAGAGATTTCTCCAAATTCTCTGAATCTTTTAATGATATTATGTTCTGTAGATGATGAAATCCACTCAGGGGAACATTATTCTGAAACTGTTGAACTATTAGCTCACACAGTCTCTCACAGAGGGATAAACTTCTTCCCATCTTTCCTTCTAACAGACTCAGCATCTCTGAATGTCCTTTTATACCCAGTCATGTTACTAACCTGTTGGAAATTCACCTTATTAGTTGGAGATGTCATCTTTGCACATTTTCAATATTAATATGGGCTGTAAATGATCTATAAACCATCAAATTCTGTTTATAATCAACATTGTAGACAGCATCCAAATTTCTGTTGGAAATGGTGTTGAATATGTTAGCCAGCTTCACAGCGGAAGTTTAGGACTATCACAAACCCTAAATAAGGCCCAGTTAAAGAGGAAAATACTGAAATATAAGAAATAGCTCTGTCACTGTTTCTCAAACCCCATCATTATCAGCATCATTAGATTCACTCACCTTATAAATGTCTGTGGAGTCTGAGTACACTGCTACTTGGCTGAGGTCAGTCATCTTCAGTCTTTCTCTTTGTCAGTGCTCCTCTTCTTACAGAGTCTGATGTCGTGATAGATGAATCTGTGGTGACATTGTGGAGAGGAAAGATTCTTCATGGGAAACCGTTGAAAAACGAGGTCTTCTGGGATTTTCTGTCATTTTTTCACTTGTAGAAAACTTCCACTGACGCTCCGGCCTTCAGTCCTCCTGCACTGCAAGGCTTCGTGTAGGACATCCATCAACAAAACCCAGATAGAAATAAAAAAAACAACAACATGATATCATTCATGTTTGAAGATTCCCTAGGTATCCATGTCTTCTTCTTCCTATCTTTGTCTACTCGACTGCATCAACCTGAGGTTCTCCTGATTTCTGGATCTATGTTAGTAGTTACAAAAGAGTTTTAGAGACTCCTTCACAGTGCTGAACAAAGCCAAGTCAGCTGAGAGGACTGAGCCAGACGGAGGAGGGGGTGGAAGGGTGAGGGTGGAAGTGGGGGTGTAGAAGGGGTCCCTGTTAAATCTCTATAATCCCCATAATGATCGTTTAAGCTCATAAAATGTATTTCACATGCAACCTTGCATGAACAGAACTTGAGAAGTAGGTGCACAACAAACAAACAAGGAAACTGAAGCCAGAACTGTGTCACACTCATGGTGCAATGTCAGCCAGTGGTAAAACTGAATTTCTTTGCCTCTGAGAACAGCAGGCTTAGACTGAGCTTTATGTTGAGGATAGTTTCTTGATGTTGGAGAACATGGATCTTCATCAGCTTGATAATGGTTAGAATTAGAGCTGTGGCTGCAAACGGTGACAGAGCCTCTTTCTGGATCAGATTATATATTAATTGTAGTATTTAGTAATTTTGTTTACTTATTACATTTTTTTCTATTTGTCAATATTTGCACTGCGGGTCTGAGAGAACTGTAATTTCATATATGCTCTATGCTGTCGTATAGCATATTTGACAATAAAGCTGACTTTAATTTTTGACTTTGACTTTGATTACACTAATGCAGTGCTCTGCAAAGATGGTAAACACAGAGACCTTTTTGTTTTTATAAACATGTGCAATAGCTGTGCTTAAGAGAGTTTGTTTTGAAGTTTTAGTAACAGTTAAAAACTGCACTCTTAGTCCTTTTTAAAACTTCAGAGTAGCTTGTAGGGAACAATCCTAAACTGATGGTTGATGTAGAGAAACTAGATAAAATTAGCCAGAGGAGAAATGAATGTAAGAGTTCAAATCTGGGCTCTGCCCCAGATTTCTCAATCCTTACTTCCCGGACGGCTGCTGCTTTGTTAATGGGTTATCAGTCCTCAAATAAAACAGCTGACTGCAGGTCGATAAAAACTTTTGGAGTGGATTCTGTCACCTAAAGACACAAACACTAATACAGAGTCGGACATGTACGTCAAACCTTTACTGTGGGGCCTTCTCTTCTGCTCCGTCCAGCAGGGTGAGTGTTTGGATTTTATGGAGCTTTTACTTCACTTTCAGTCTGATTTTTGGCGTTGTTGGCACCGGAGTCTATGTGACCCTTTTTTTTTTTTGCGTGTCAGTAACAAACCCTCTCACTGCTTATTGCCTCAGTGTTTCTGCAGGGGTCAGAGTATGATTATGAAATTTATGAAGACCTGGAGCCTCTAAACTGCTCAACTACAGAGAGCATTAAAGGTGGAAACGTCACTTACTCACAGGTATGAATAACGAAAAACAAGAAAAGATGAAAACAGAATTTCAAATCACAGCAAAGAGAGTACACGAAGGGTTTAACCAGCCAAGTTTCCAGGACAAAAAAGGAGATGGTGAAATGATGTGGTTCATAAAATATCCTGAAAGTGAAAGTAAAGACAAGACTGAATCTAACTGACGATAAAAAGAAACTATAACGGATGGAAACTGAAGGAACTCATGCAAGTATCTTCAAGAAATCCCATCCTTTAATTTGCCTTTAAAAATTGGTGTGTGTGTGTGTGTGTGTGTGTGTGTGTGTGTGTGTGTGTGTGTGTGTGTGTGTGTGTGTGTGTGTGTGTGTGTGTGTGTGAGTGTGTGTGCGTGTGTATCCTCTACAGTCGGGGCTGGAGGACAGCGTTCTGACCTATCACTGCAGCCCCGGTCAGTACCCGTACCCTGTCAGCACCAGGACCTGCAGTGATGGGGAGTGGTCCCCCATGAGGTTACCCAGTGGCAGAGCAGTGTCTCGTGCTTCATGCAAAGGTTATGTTTCCTGATCAGGATGCATCAACTTTATGTGCACTAAGTTATCTATTCATTATCTGAATGTTTACTCTGTGGTTTCCTGCACCATCTCCTCCTTCTCTCCCACTCTCTTTTCTCCTCATCCATCCTTGTCCTGGTCTCAGATGTGATGTGTCCGGCTCAGCTTCAGCTGGATAACGGGGACTTCTGGCCCAGGGATCAGTGGCTCCCTGTCGGGGTGTCGCAGAGCTTCTCCTGCCAGGAAGGGTTCACCCTGTACGGGTCAGCCCAGAGGAACTGCACCTTGTCAGGGGAGTTGACGGGGACCACTCCTGTGTGTCAGCACTTTGGTGAGTAAACAGTGTTATTTTTGATGGTAAACATACAGAACATGGACATAAGTTTCTTTATAGGTGCAGCAGAGAGGATATCAGCTTAAATGTGACCTTTGACCCAGTTGAGTGAGTGTATTAGAGCGTATGATTGTAGGGTGAGCATGCACTGACTAAGCTCACACTTATGGAGGTTTACATCCTAAAGCAGCTTTTGATGAATACATGCATTTACTCTTTACCATTCAGAGTTTTAAGACACACTCTTACTAAAGGTTTCTATGCAAGTGAGGCCTTTTGTGAGCTAATTTGAAGTATTAGAACCAAACAAAGACTCAGTACCAATCCTTTTTCTGTGTGTGTTTCTTCTCTATCTGAAGATGAATCTGATGACTGCAATGACCCGGGGATCCCAGCAGGGGCTCAGAGGATATCAGGACATTTTCACATTGGGGAGAAAGTGATCTACCGCTGTCAGGCTGGTATGGATCTGCTCGGGTCAGCTGAGAGGGTTTGCCTGGAGAGCGGGCAGTGGAGCGGCTCAACTCCACGTTGCCAAGGTGCAGACACACAGATGGACTGCTTTTGGATTTGTATGAGGAGTACCCATCAGTTTAACACCCCCCCCCCCCCCCCACCACCCCCCCCCCCCCCCCCCCAAAAAAAAAAACAAAAAAAAAAAAAAAAACTGATGAAAACTACTGGGATGCAGCTCTGTCAGGTTACATCATAATAAAAAAAGCACCAGTGTGTGACATCTTTATGTTTCTGCAGCACCACACACCTTTGATTCCCCCGATTTGGTGGCAGCAGCCTTGGGAGGGTCCCTGGCAGGGGTCATGGATGTTCTTACACCAGATGCCTTACAGGAAGGTGAGTACACCTGCTGTATGTTGTCCACATTTCCAAACCTCAGTTTATACAACAAGAAGACCTTTAGTGTGTGTGTGTGTGTGTGTGTGTGTGTGTGTGCTCGTGTAAGGTCAGAGGGCATCGTTTGGGAGAACCATCCGTGTGGCTGAGGGCAGCCGAATGAACGTCTTTATTTTACTGGACTCGTCAGGAAGCATCGGGAAGCAGGTCTTTGAGGAATCCAGGAAAGCCACTATCGCTCTAATTAGAAAGGTCAGTTAAATAAAAAGATGATTAGATGATGTTTACGCTCCTGTCAGTCTGATTTCACGGAGTGTGAATCCTCCATGTTCTATTAATATGCCTCCTAGTTGGAGAGCTACGAGGTGCAGATGAAGTTCCATATTTTGTCATTTGCAAGCGAAGCCATAGACATTGTGAACATCACAGACTCACACATGAGTGGCGACATAGATGACGTCATCTGGAATTTAATGGAGTTCGACTACCACAGTAAGACTCTGCTCATTTACTCTTTTGAGGCCCTCAGTATGAGAGTACAACATGCTTCAGTCTTCTGCTTTTCTGCAGGTCATGGAGAGAAGAAGGGCACCAATCTCCATGCTGCACTGCTGCGTGTCACAGAGTTGATAAGCTTTTTGAAGCAAAACAGCGCCAGAAACCATTTTAATGAGACTCAGAACATCATCATCATAGAGACAGATGGTAAAAATACAGCTAACCTCTCATGCTCAGGCTGGAAAAGCATGCATCCGAACATGACTATAGCCTTACTTTATTTTTTGTCTGTAGGTTACACCAACACTGGCTCCAAACCTCAACATGACCTGGCAAATATTCGAAATCTGCTAGGTTATCACACCCCAGGTCAAGATCACGCAGATGAGACAATGCTGGGTATAAAAAAAAATTAAAAAATGAAAATGAAAATAACCTTAACTCTGTCATATAATGGGAGAGTTATTAACTCTATTTGGGATGTTTTTCAGATATCTATGTGTTTGGTATTGGAAGCGAGGTGAAAAGAGATCAGTTGAACTCTTTAGCCTCTCAAAAAAACGGTGAGGAGCACGTCTTTATCCTGAAAAACTACAAAATGCTGGGGGAGGTGTTCAACAGCATCATCAGTGAGTACAAGACTGAGCTCAGACAATACTTTCTGATGTTATTGTCTCTGTCCACTTTGAAATACACCTGAAGACTCAAACTAGAGGACAGCTGTTTTCAAACGCTTAGTACAAGTTTTTGATGTGTTACTTGGTACAATCAGAATTTGACTGTTTGAAAATTACAGAAGAGGATACAAGCCAGTAGGGGGAAAAAAAGTACCCATATTCTGTATAGTCAGAATTATGACTTGAATGTCATAATAATAATAAAAATATATATATTGGCCCTAATCCTCTTCCATAGAAAATCATATAAGCTTACATGTATGTAAAAAGTCTGCATTTATAAGACATGAAATGAAACTGAAATCTGTTACCATCAAAACTTTGGTTCTGTTTGACTTTATAGGTGACAAAAGTGTGACGATGTGTGGGGTAGCTCAAGAAGACATCAGCAAGGACCAGGGAGAAGAAGGGAAAGACGTCTTTACCAGACCCTGGCACATCACTTTTCAGTCGCCTAGGATGGTCAGTTAAGTCAATTAAGTCACAACAGAGATCTATCTTTTTTTACCCACTCTAGGTTTTAACTCTTAACAGTTTTTTTTCCTGCCTTTAGTCTGAGCCATGTGTCGGATCTATTGTAAGCCAGAACTGGGTGCTGACAGCTGCTCACTGCTATGCCAGAGCGAGTACAGACAGTGTCTCTCTTGAGCGGGACATCAAAACAGGTGGGTGTCAGTGCAGGGGAATGTTTTAGAGATAGAGGTTTTATGAGAGATGGGGCAGAGGAAAAATAGAAAGAGGATGGTTGAGAAGTCAGTGTGTTGACTAAAATCATTGATAAGGTGGTCTTGACATTTTTGTTGATTTCATACCTCTTTATTTATAAATGAAATCCACTTTGTTGCTTCCAGGTGACGTCACTGTGGTTCCCAAGAAGGTGATCATTCATCCCAATTACAACACCGCCGCACTCAAACACAGAAATGTATCTGAGTTCTACGACTATGATGTCGCTCTGGTGCAGTTGAACATGAGTATCCCACTCTCCTGGAAAGCCAGGTACGACAAAAGAAGAGATGCTCATCAATTCAAAAAAAGTTAATTATATCTCTGAAAGTGTTTGTGGACACAAATTCTATACCCCTGATGAAAAAACTGAGGTAAATGCCATGAGATGTAGAATTTAGACTGAAGTAAATATGTTGTGTCCTACAACAGACCCATCTGCTTGCCTTGTACTGTACCAGCCAGCCGAGCCATGAAAAAAGTCAACTCCACCTGCCAGCAGCACAGTAAGTAAGCTTATGGGCTCTATTTTTGTGCCCGCCAGCGACGCGGTGCAAGGTGGCACACTCCGCGCAGTGGTGTTTTCGTCTGGCGGAGCCCGGTGCACAGCCAGTTTGGTGTTTTTGTAGACTGAGGCGCGCCGAGGTCCACCAAGCTGGGCGTTGTGGTGCGGCAGGGGGAGGTGTTGACAGAATCACCTTGTGCAGTGACATTTTCGTGCTCACCGCTGGCGTGGAAAGTGCGCTGAAAGCTCGCCGATTCAAACCTGGTCAGCTTTCAGAGCAGGCGGAGCGCAGCTGGTCTAGTGGTATTTTGGTAGACTGGCGGCGTATCGGCATACGTCACCGATGCCTCACCGGCAGATTTCCACAGTGTCAGGTACATTTCAGTGCAATCAATAATCAACAACAACCAATATTCAGTGCAACCATCTGAATCAGCACTTTCATTTAGATATCGATATATTCTAATCTATATCTTATCTGATGAGTGCATTTGGCACGTGTTTATACACTCAACCTGACTGGATTAACACAGCTGAAACCGCATAGATTAAAATATCCAGTAAACAGTCACACATGATGAATACAATACAAACAACACAATATTTAATTTGTTTCCCCCCTTTTTCTCCTTCCTCTCTTGATCTCTTTGACTACTGCATGATAATTGTAATATGCCAGTGGCGGATTTAAAGGTGAGGGGAGGAGCTGATGTGAAAACAGGTCTCGGCTGTGTTAAATCTACTCCACGCCCTCTCTCCTCCCTCTCTTTGACTTACACCGCTGGGAGGAGCTGAGTTAGGGAGGGGGGATACTTATGCCGGGCTGCGCCGCTCATCAAAATACCAAAGTGTGCTTGGGCCTGCCTTGTTGGCACAGCGGACCTGACTTACGCCATGCCTGTGCCAAGCCGCCGGCAAGGCACAAAAATAGAGCCCAATATCTCTACACTCTACCAAAGCATTCATGATAGGAGTTTCTTCAAATATATATATGTAAATACTGGCATCCTGTGTCTGCCCTGAAAATATTGAATTCTTTTCAATGTAAAGAGGCTGGGCCGGACAGCCATATGTGTACTCTTTCATGAACACAATCCCAGTATACTCTCTTGATTTTTAACACTGATGTAAATGCTCTTGTTTGCCTACAGGGGATGAGCTACTACCCAATAAGGAGACAGCCGCTTTTTTCATCCATAAGGACTCCCAACGCAAAACCACATATATTCAAACAGGGAGTCAGGTCAGATTGCAGCTGCTGATGTTATAAAATGTTGAGAAAATATGCTTTTACATTCAAGAGTGTTAAATATAAACCTGTTTGATGTGTGCAGAGGCCTGGCTGTGTAGAGAAGGCTAAGCTAACCCTCAAAGAGACGACTGATGTGACTCTGGACGAATATGTACCTGACAGATTTCTCTGTTCAGGGGGATCTTCGGGGTACAAGTCAGATATCACCTGTAAAGGTCAGGACTCTTGACTTGTTTTGTCCCAGTTCTCAGAGTGTGGACCTGCATGGTTTTAACAATGAAGTTTGAAACTGTCTCTTCCTCTGCAGGTGACTCTGGAGGATCTGTGTTTCTGCAGAAAGGAAAGCGCTACTTCCAGGTCACCAAGTTTATCATTAAAAAGCATATCTATCTGCATGCTCAATAAAAAGAACTTTTCACAGAGCTTTCTCTTGCTTCTACCACCAGGTGGGGGTAGTGAGCTGGGGCACCATAGATGTCTGCAACAACCCATTTTCAAGGGGGCGCAACAGTCAGCATCCTGATGCTCGAGACTTTCACATCGACGTTTTTAAGATAATGCCGTGGCTGAAACAGCATCTGGGTAAAGAGATCCAGTTCCTGCCTGAGATCAACTGAGAGGCTGCAGTCCAGGTCCAGCTTTCCCGAGCTTCATTACCAAAAGTGAAACCTGCTGTGGTGCAGTAAACTCAACTATAAAGGTGGTTTGTTAAAGAAAACCAAAACAATAACCAATAAACAACATGCATTGGGTTTTGTTTTGCTTTCATGGTGTGTTCATCTTAATTAAAGGTTTTTTTTAAAAAGCATGCATAATCAGCTCGAGTTGCAGATGTAGTTTAGACATATCTGTGCACTTATGTGGATGTGTAAGGTTGTCTGGTAAGATTAAAGAGGAACTGATTCATTAATGCTCCCCTGGTTATCATCAGGAAACTCAACCAAACAGTTACATACCGTTAACACTTAAAGCAGCACGCAGAAGTCAGAATGACTTAAAACAGAGAGTCTTTATATCTTTTGCTGTTCGTTTTGGTTAAATTCTTAAATTAGAGAAGTATTCTTTCAGAACAGAGATTTAAGTCTGTATACTTCTTACTCAAAAAGGTTCAGAATTTTTCATTTATTCAAAAAAAGGTGCATTGTCTGGTGCACAAAAAATCCCTCATACGCTCAAAAACATTCTTTCATTGTTAGAGAATCACACACAAAATGATCTGTTTAGTTATTAAAGCTTGTCAGATGCATGTGTTTTACCAGGAATGCACTGATTTATCAGCTGAATTTCGTTATCTGCAAATATTGGCCCCTTAGACAAACATCAGCACATCTGCGAATAACATTGTGCACGACTGCCAATCCTGTAGCATCATATCTTAATCTGCATCCATGCATGTAAATCTAGAAACTGTTACAGTTTACTGCAATTACTGAGACATTATTATTGGACCAAAAAAGACCTCTGATTTATTTCAACCAGTGTGCGCAGTGCAGGAATAGCCGCTGAGGAAGATCAGTGAGATTCAGCATTCAAGGAGGACCAGCAGCTGTTTGAAAACATTAAATCTAGTAGATAATCCAAAAAACAGACACCGAAAAACAAAATAACACACACACAAAAAAAAGGACGCCAACATTGATTGTTGGTTTCAGTTCTTCTTTTCATAATCAGTGCTAAATACTCATGCAGGGAGTGTTTGTGATTTCTGCCTGAGTGAATTTGTGAAAGACCTGCGAGGTGAGATTGTTTAATGGACCATAAACCAGAATCAACCAATCACATTCAAGTCTGTAAGAATAGATACAGTGCATGGTTTGTGCATCCAGCCTAAAGGCGTAGAAAGTAAACAAGATGACAAACTTTGTGTTTAGTGTTATGTAAGTATTTATTTTCGATTTTTAAACGAAACTGCCAAAGTTTTTCTTTTTCTGCGTTGATATAAAATGGTTTTGTTGTTTTTTTCTCTTCGCTTTGTTACAAGTAAGTCATCTGTTAGTCTGATTATGTAATTTGTGACGATCAGGGCAAAACCAAACCTTATGTCTATGATTATGTCAGAGTGGGTTTTTTTGTGATGTCATATGCCCCCCTGGCTGTAATCTGTATATCTGAAAAAATATGGAAAAAAATGAAAATCAAAAGTCAGTTGTCCAATCAGCCCTCAGAAAACTGGCGGAACAAAGTTTCTGATTGGCTGTCTTTGAAGTTCGGGACAAAGTGGATCTGAAGAATCTCTGAAAATCCCTCCGACAGAGAAGGAGCCACAAAGTGTTTCCTGGTTAGAGAGAGGGAGATGAAAGGGAGTGGTTGGTATGAAAAAAGCTCACTGATTTGTTTTTAACAAGCAAAATTAGCCTTCAAAGGAATAGTTCGCATTTTAAGGGAGGTACTCGTCAATCAAGGGAGAAAAAGTGCTCGAAATCTTATCAAACCATTTCAGTACGGCACCTATGGTATGGTGCACAACTTAAGGTTATTCAAATCCAAGGTCCTCACATGAACCAGGAAACAGACATACACCACACACAGACTGAGTAGCCCATCATAGGCGACTGAAATCAAACAATCATCATGAAAGTCAGGACATCATATTCCCCCAACATCAGATTAACTCCCTGATGAAAGTTTGATACTGAAACACACCAGAGTTTGTTTTTAAGGTCTACGTGACTTGGCTGTGAACGTAAAGCAACTAAACTACACAAAAGAGAAATGACCCCTTTCTCTTCTGCACATTAAGAAAATGAAACAGTTTGTTCCAAAACTGGTCAGAGCGTGGAGGAAACTTTCCACTTTCTTACTTGTAACTGTGGAAAACCATGTCGCTGACTTTGGCGTGTTTGGTGTCTGATGGAGCCATCTCACGAAACTGGAAAGGAAATTGAATCATTAAAAACACACCTGTCATCCCAGCCGGGGTAAAACTAAACACTGAGGCATTAAAGAGAAAAGTCTCACTCTGTTGTTGTGTTTGGCTTCTTCCAGAGAGGCCGAGAAGTTAAAACAGCGACACGGCACTCCTGCAGCTTTCGCTACATCCAGATATCTGGGAATGCACACGGACAAATCAGTGAAAAAATAAGGGCACATATTTTTCCACCATAACTGCACTGTGAATAACGGCTTTTGTGGCTTTAATTCAATGTTTCTGAGTTACACTGAACTTAATTCCTCCTTGTAACTCTGAAAGTAACTCTGAGTCATAGTGCCACAGTTTCTGGAAGCATTGACATTCAGGACAGTGTTTACAGTCAGAGTTTAACCAATGATGACTTTTTCCTTGCTGCAAGCACAGTCAGATATCAGGGGAAATGTACTCCTCCCTCATGCAAATACCTGTCCATAGATGCCTTTTGATGGTGCATGATGGTTAACTTGGATAGGGCGAGTCCTGAGTGTGTTTTGTACACATTATAAGCAGACAGAAAAAAGGACAAACCACAGCTGTGCAGCTACACAGTAAGACCTGATACACTTGGGATTTACCGTTTGCGAGACTCTGGATCTGGATTGGTGTTGTCCACGGCAACACTCTTGCCCTCTTTCAGAGCACGCTCACAGGCCGACACACAGTGCTGCCAGGAACCCAGAGTGTCCTGATATGAAACAAAGCAGGACAGGTTGATATAAGGAGCTTTACAGTTCAATTAGCAACATAAAAATAACAGTTATTGTTATTTAGTTTGCATCTATCGTCCTCATTAATAAGATATAACCTGCACAATTAAAACTGTGTTAAAACTGTGAGTCAAATTCCTCAATTTCTTTCAGTCTTTTAAACTTGAGCTGAACAAGAGAAAAATGACCTCACCCTGTTGACGTACACGTAACCTTTTGGGATAATATGGGTGTGGAAGAAGGTGGATTTACCCGCTGTGGAAAAAATAGGAAAATCAAGCAAAAGACTGAGACAGTGTTTGAGGGAGAGAAAATCAGAAAAGTGGTGAATAACTTTCTCTTACATGCTGGGAAGCCCACAGCAACAATGACCTCTGTTTTGCTGGAGGTGAGAGAGGCAGACGGTGGGTCATACAGCCGCGCAGAGGAGTCCACCTTTCTCTGAAGGAAGAGATTAAAACAACATACTTACATAGATGCAGATAAATAAAAGCTGCGGCCAGATTAAAAAAAAACAGCTCAGTTTGTTTATTTGTTCGATGCACTCACAGGGTCAAAACTGGGCAGCCTGTAGGGGGCGCTTTTCCAGCCCAGGAAATACTCCTCTGGGGTGTAGAACTGCAGTCCAATGTTCAGGGCGAACTACACAGGCAGGAAGGAAACAAGTTAATGGCACACAGCACTTGCTGTAGTCTTATCAGTCTGTGCACCTTCTCCTCATTAAAGCCTCATTCAAAAACAACTAAAGCTCTGAGGGTCAACTGCACAAACATTTGATGATTCCCAAAAACCCGTTCAACAAACGCCAGAGTAGTTTTCTATTTTTAAGAAATAATGTCTGAGGTCTCACCAGTCGGTCACTGCAGGAAAAATCCTTCTTCTTCTTCCCTGGAGCCCAGTTCTCTGGTCTACCTGCGGCATCTGTGTACAGAGATGGAACAACTGTGAGAGACTTCAGCTGCTGAGGTTTTCCTCGACTGAGGACATAAAGCTTCTTTTATCAGACAGCAAGATCAGCACAAGGACTCCTTTCTTTTTTCTGACGCACCTTACAGGGGTTCATTTGAAATATTTCTAAGCCTCAGGATCTAAAGTCCCCTTACTTGTACCAAAAGGTAGTCAGGTAGTCAGCCAAAACAGTGTACAACAAGACATGATAAAGTGGCTTCAGTGCTAAGACAAGGTCAGGTGAGCCATCAGTAAAAATGAAATAATCAAGATATCCTCATTATGATTGCACAGACTCAGGTGAGGTTAGGTTATGTCATTTGTACCTAAAGACAGTTAACTCTGAGTGAGTCAGCCATCTCTGACTCATAAAATCAACAACACATGACAAGACATGATACACAAAGTGATGACTATGCACAAAACTACATGGTGTCCTTAACTAAAGCCATTTACTGCTGCATCTCAACAAATCAGAATACTGAAGAAAAAGATCCATACTTCCTGTTTGATTTTACAATCTAAGACTATCACGTGTATTTTAAAATATTGGGAGTAAAATGTTGGGTTGAAGTTTGCCACTTCTCTGTGATACCAGAAAAATCCCACAGCGACCTGCAGCTGTAGGATCTCACTGCTTCTACTTAAACTTTGCTCACCTCCTACAAAGAGACTCTGAGCTTTATCAACAGTCACTCCATCGTTTGCCTGAGAAGGACAGAGACACACAAAGACAGTGGTGTTTAAACTCAGAATGTATCACTGTCACATGGTGCCGCAAACAGCAGTCGGCATACATGGAGGAAAAACAAAAGGAGGTTTTTATGACTCATCATCATATACACTCAGTAATTCAGGATGCAATTACCCCATCTGAGGCGTGGTTCGTAAATAACGTGGGTGTGGGCACTTACCTTCTCACACAGGTGATTCCACATTCCCATCACAGGTTTCCTGTAGATACCTGGACCGGTTGCTACAAACACCTGAGACATGAACGAGAAGGATGATATATAACTATCACCTCTATCTTAAGAGTGATGAGAGATGACAGCAGTCTACGCTCTTTTAAAAGTGTATGAAAACTTATTCCAGAGGCTGTTCATAGGAGACCAGTGTCAAAGTGCAGATCAAAAAATAAGCAAACTTCTCTTCTGATTTATGATCTTCAGTTGCTTTTATCTCATCTTTTAGTCCCTGGACTAAAAGTTTGTTGAAAGACTCCAGTGGCAACAAAGTGATACATCAACAAGTAGCACAAAATGATTAAAAATTGACATTTCAAGATTAATAATTACAATGAGACGTCACACCATTGATTACGCTTTAGAAGAGACAGAAAAACTACAGAGAGCTGCAGAGCAATTTGAGATAAATATGTTCATAATATGTGCTAACCATCAGACTCTGTTTTAATCATCATTTCACTCTGCTCCTTCATTCCTGTTAGAAGTATTATATGTTTTTAAACTGTTTGTGATTTCCTTAATTTGCCTCTGACTTTCTGCACTGCCTGTTTTGTTTCACAGCTTTTGGAAAGAACTTTAGAACTCTGGGTTTGAGAAGAGCTTTATAAATTAAGTTAACCATGTCCTTTATTACTTTTATTGACAGTTTTATGTTATGTATAATGTTGTTTGAGTAAATTATGGTTTCATTGAGAGTGAAATTTGTTTGATTTGTTACTAAGGATAGTCAGGAAATTGAACTGGTTTCCACCTTTAAATACCTGGGGTTATGAAAACTTGCCTTTTAAAGAGCATAATTATTATGTTACCAAAAGCTTAAGGTTTTACTTGGTTTTTACAACAGAAACAAGTCTTATTTCTCTTTTATGGTTAAAAAGAGACTTGTTGAGTCAACATTTTTACCTGTTCTGGGTTATGGTGACGTACTGTACATGAATGCTTCTGCTCAGAGTCTACAGATGTTGAACACTGTTTATCATGGAGCTCTGAGATTTATCTCAAACTGTTGATTTCTTACTCACCACTGTGACTTACACTTGAAGGTCAACTGGACTCCTCTAAGCACAAGTTGCCTCAGACATTGGTATGTCTTTATCTACGAAGCCATTTTAGGCAGTGCTCTGGACTACCTTTCCTCCTTGTTGTCGTAAAGGCAGGATTACATAACTTGCGGTCACCTGATTTTGTGCAGTTTGCTGTTCCCACTGAGAACTGAACTGAGCTGGGAAAGAAGGCCTTTAGGTTTCCTGCTCTTTTTGCATGGAATAACCTGCAGACTGAATTTAGATTACAGAACCTAGTGTCTCTGAGTGTTTTTAAATCTTTGGTAAAAACTCTTGAAAGCAAACTGTCTGTATGCCACTGCTTTAGCTGACATTTTGTATTTACTGCACTTGTTGCTGATGTTGAGCTGCGTGAGTCTGAGTGTGTTTGTTTTTTGTTTTTGAAAATGCGTTGCTGCCATTCTTGGCCAGGCCCCCCTTGAAAAGAGATCTTTGATCTCAATGGGACTAGCCTGGTTAAATAAAGGTTGAATAAAAATAAAAACAAAAACTAAAGTGGGATATGCTTTAGGACGGGGCTCCTTTATAGGCTCGTCAACCCCTACAGAGAAGTGATAATGTGCATCCATTCTCACGTACGAGGATGGCAAAGATGGAGACAGTCTGTGAGACTGATGGTCTCAAAACAAAAATCATTATCCAAAGGCACAGATGACGTCATACATGGCTGTTTCCTTCTCTTAAATACAGACAACGAAGCTGAGTCATCACTGACCTGCACAGGTAGCTTCAGTGTGGTGAGGATGTCCTCCACCTTAGACTTGAAGACCTCAGGTCTTAGTTTGCCTTTCGCGATCCCCATCTGGTTGGTGAAGAACACCACCTACAGTGAGAGCAGAGCTGGTTTATAGCTGGAGGAGATTTCACAGGCTTTTAACCTTCAAAACTTCATAGTATGGTTGAATCAGCTATAATTTGAGGCTTCTTCTCACCTTGTATCCATTCTTCAGTAAACTGGCGAGCTTGGGCTGAATCTCAGGAAAGAGGATCCTGTTTAATGGACAAATACAAGCAGATGAAAAGTCCCTCAGAGCAGGGCAACAGCAACACAAAACATGAAAAGGAGAGTTCAGGATTCAAGATTTACCTCCAGTCATCCGGCGTAGTGGGGAATACTTTTCCAGACTTGGTGGTGATGATGCAGCCGTCAATGTCGAATCCAGCAATCTAGAGAAAAGGAGGACATGTTTGGACAAAGAAACTTTCTTAGGATTGAGTTCTCATTACTGATTATGAGGCAGTTAGTCCTGTTTCTGTCCCTACTGTCAGACTGAGGACAGTGTTAAAGGTGCTTTTAAGAAATTATAGGAAACATTTTTCTCAGTGAAAAAAAAAACATGTAGTGATTGTTTTGTAAACTTGTTGGCCTGAGATTGTGTTGACTCACAGATTACTTTATAATGGCCTGCATGACTGTAACAATTATCATTTATGTTTTTGTTATGAAAATTTATTTAAATCTGTTGACCAGATGAGGACTTACTGACAAAAAGTGTCATCATCAACAAAACTAACTGTAAAGAGGCTGTTTTCAGGATGATCTCTAAGCTGAGGTGGTTTTTAACACTGTCAGCTGTATTGACTCTGATTCTCTCACAGAGAGCGTCTTAAATAATCAGGCAAAGCTGATCCTCAGCTCACCTTATCACTCCCTTTGACTCCAGCTGCAGTGTAGAGCAACAGGTTGTCAATCTGCTGCCAGTTGCTTTTCAGACAACCCTTTGAAGATGAAGATGATGATGATGATGGTTTGCTGCTCCCCTCCTTCACTGATTTCTCTGCTAGCTCCTGCAGCTGCTTCAGTTTTTCCTCTGCTAGTCTCTCCTCCTCCTCCTCCTCGTCTTCCTTAATTCCTTTATTGGCGGCCTCCTCATCTCGTCTTTGGCGTTTTCCGCCCTGGTGTCCCCCATCTGGGTCCAGGCGTCTTTTGGAGGACTAAATACAAGAACAAAACATCATAGCGTCTCTGAGCTACAGTTAAATGGATGAAACAATAGGAATCAATGCAGGGACCAAAGAGTTTAAAGTGTGTTACCTTCATGGGAGAGGCAGAAAAGAAATCCTTGATACTGCGTTTAGGGTTTGGACTGGAGTGCGCCTCTTTGTCCCTCTCGTTTCTCCCTCCTTTGGTCTTATCTGTGGCCTTCAGTCCTTCCTGAACAGCAGTGGAAGCTGCTCCGTTTGAGCTCAGAGAATAGTGCAATTTAAATGGATGGCTTTGGTTAACCAGGTACAGTGTGCCTCTGTGTGTGAGTTTTCCAGACTGACCACGGTTCAGCTGCTCTCCGTCTAGCGAGCTTGGATTAGGGCCCAGCTGTGGAATTAAAAAGAACATGCATGGACATTGGACTGCAGTTTCTTTTATATAGTTAGATTACAGGCTGGAGATAACCAGGGTGTTTCCAGGCAGTAGGACAATGGGTCGCTGTCAACCAACTGAACTTCTTATGCAACATTAAATATCAACTCTGTGTGCTTGTTGGGTGTCGTCTGGCAGAGGCGTCTGTTTGATCTGAGAGCTTCACAGGGAAGAAGACAAGTTTAAATCTAACCTGTGACACTGTAAGTCAGGCTATATTGTTTGACTTCATACCTGAGTTACAACCACATCCTGGTCTGCATAGCAAGCCACCACCTTCACTGAAAGAGACACAAAGTCTGTTATTATTATACAGTCTCATACACACTTTTCTAAACAAATATCATGAGCTGAAACTCCTGACACACCAAGACCCTGATTAAAAAACTGCTGACATGCTGTGAAAAATGTTGAGATTCTGATTGTTTTACTTCAAATGTTTCAACCAAAAATACATAATGATACTGATAATGAGATGGCAGGCTGGCCAATGTTGGTTTTATAATAAAAGCTGCTCATCACTAGTAGCAGATCAATTCTCATATAAGAGTAATTTTGTGCTCTTAACAATGAAAAACAAGTCCTAGTGTTATGAGATTAAATTCTATTTATTTATTTAACCAGACAAAAACCCATTGAGATCAACCTCTCTTTCACAAGGGTGACCTGGCTATAAGGTCAGCAGCACGTCATGAAAAATGAGAAAAACAAAATAAAACATGATTGAGAAGTGACAATAAACAGTTAGTTAAAATTCTAATTTTTTCGTAAGTGCAAGGTGTCTTGTAATATGTTGTTAAAGATAGCACTCGTAAAGTCATATTCATCATGTATGAGAATAAAGCGTGATATAGTTGTAGTTTTGGTTAACAGTGAACAGCCAGCTGTCTGGAGCATCTAGTAACATTGTCTCTAATATTTTGTCACTTCAGCACCACATTAATATCAAGGTCCAAAATTAGCGTCCACTAATAACACAGTGCAAGGACAAATCGCCTATGTGCAATATTGCCAGTCTCCCCTAATTTTTATTTTACAGTGTATATTCAAGTACTTTCTTCACTCTGTAAATAGTTTTAACCATTCTGATCTTTTATCTTTATATTTAAAAATATATTTCTAAAACTTTTATTGTTTTTGTTTGTAAAGAGCTGACTCTAGAGGTATCACACAAAAATTGTATGTACCTGTACTGTCTCGTACCAACGTGAATGTTGATAAAAATCTTTCCATTCTATCTAGGTTCCTTATCGTGACAGTTTACGATCTGAATATTTTCTGTCTTTATTCCATAAAAGCCAATCAAGTTCAGCAAATTTGTTCCTAATTGTTTTATCTTTTTCTGGAAATTGTGATTTAAAAAAAATAAATAAATAAAAAGAATCGGCCCCATATCGACCCTCAGTTGTCTCGCTGGTTAACTATCGGCATCACTGATATATTGGTCGACCGTTTCTCTCCTGAAGGCCAATCTCGCACTTCTCCTCACCCTGATGACGGGAGCATTTCTTATCCGTAACCCCGGTGTCTGGACCCCGGCCTAAAATCACGGCTCGACCATCCTCCAGGAGGACCCGAGCTCCGGAGGGACTGACCAGCGAGCACGGCATCTGAGCAGGAGACCTGGGACTGATCCTTCTACAGCCCGACGAAGTGAGTAAATATAACCGGATTAATTTAACGTAGAGTGATTTAACGTAGAGGTTCACTGGCAAATACTTTATTACTTTAAACACCAATATTTTGAACCTCGTCCACTTTAAAGTAAAAACACAATGGTAAACAAACAGAGGAGGACTATTTGGGAGTTTCTCCCGCGGTCCAGTGGAAAAAAATTATCCGACTGGAAACACCCTCTACTATATGGTTCCGCATACTTTTCCGGGTTACTCTGCTCTAAACCGTCCCGTGTGTGTTTAACTATTTGTTGAGTCATGTTGTTCCAGAAGATGCAGAATACTAAAGTTGACTTTTAAAGCGAAATTTAAACTTTAGTACATTTTGAAATTTCTTGTTTAGACGTCTCGCTGGGCAGACAGTGACTCACCTTTTCCCTTCTCCACCCAGTCGGTCACCTGGGGACAGAAAGGTAAGAGGAAACATAACGTGAGAAACAGACATGATTTTAATGTTCTTATTGAACTCTGTTGAGAGATATCCTCCATCTATCTCTGACTTATTAGGAAGAATTAGCCTACCTGTCATCACCTTCCTCTCTTACCTGGTTGTTCTCTAAGTACACGATTTGATGTAAAACTGACGGATGAGGTGCCTCCTTAAAATCAAGACTATCAGGTTTCATGTGGCATGATCAGCTACAATAAAACATGACCCTGTGTTTTTTTAAACTGGAACTAAGCATATTCAGTTTCGCTTCTGTTTCATGTTACATTTAGGCTTCATTTATTCATAACTTATGCATTATTTGCATTTATGTAACAAAATGTTTATCTAAATTTAAGAGCGCTAACATCATATGTCATTGAAAACTGATAAAGGGAGCTGTTAGGCCTCATTCAGGACCATTAGTCTTTGAATGTCTTGATTTATTGGTATTTCTTTTTCAGGTAATAAAGATAATCTAAAACTAGAGTTACATAGAGTAGTTATTTGGCAAATCAGGCCATCAGTTATTAGATTGATCCTATAAATGTTGATATTTTTGATGTCCGAAGCAGCTGGTGCAGGGTTGGTCAGGTATGTCAGACAAATTCACCTCATTCTGAAATTCCATCCATGCTCAGCTGCTCCTCTGATGTGACATGTTATCAGAATGATCGAGGAGCTCATCTTTGCAAATTAAAAAGATAAAGGAGATTTTGCCTTAACAGAAAAATTATCCTAAATGTTGAGTCAAAATAATGTTGTTGTAAAACAACCATGAGATAATGTTTTAGTAACAAGAAAAATGAGATAACAGGTCAAAATACTGAGATAAAAAGTCATTATTATCAGATTAGAATGTCACAATAATGCAATAAATTTATCTTAAATTAAAATGGTTAGATAAATGTTAAAATCATTACATAGAAGTTGTTATTCTGAAATAAGAATCAATAAGCATGAGAAAAAAAAGTCATAATAACAACATAAAAATGATTAATGAGATAAAAGTCATAACGATGAGCTAAAAAGTCAAAAAGATAAAAGTTATAATGGTGGGAAAATTCATACTGAGTTACATGTCAAAATTGTAACATTTTGTTATTATAAATATAGGTATAATCATGCAATAAAGTCATTATTTCAAAATTAAGCTCAGAATTATGAGATGAATGTCATAATGATGACATTATAGCTAACAATGAGGTTAAAAAGACAGAATTATGCAATACACGTCAAAATCCTGACATAGAAGTCTTATCTGATAATTTTGCTCTACCATTAAGTCAGATTTTCTTTCTCATAGCAATGTAAAGTTTTCCTGAACATTATAACTCAATCTAATTAGTGCAACAGTCACATCTTTAATATAAGATAAGATACACCTTTATTAGTCCCACAAGGGAAATTCCCATTTACAGTTCATCCTTTCCAAGAAACATACAATTGACAGATGCACACAGGGTGACAGGAACAGGAGAACTGTCGGATTATAGTCTGTTTCATAACCACCCAGAAACTTCTTTCTGGAGCTTATTGAGGACAATTACACAGACATTGTCTTTAAAAGTTGTTGAAAGCAATATAGACTCTTAACTCCATAATCCACAGTCAAAACTTTGTGTTGTGCTCTCAACCTCCTCAAATATTGACCTGTGCTGACAGAATAAACAGGTTTATTAAACAGTCTCGCCCAGGGTGTGTCGCTGTGTGGGGTGACATATTCATACAGTGAGAATGTGGACTAGCTGGTGTTGTTTACCCTGAATACCTGCTGATGTTTGATCCTTGACAGCATTAAATGTCTGTCTCTGGGCTGTACTTGGTAAACTAACTCCTCCTCTTCATATTTTCATGACATGAAAAATCCTGTTCCAGCTCTCAGTTATATTTCCTCCTCTGTTCTGTCAGGCTGCTGACTTGGTGGGCTGTCTGTCTGGGATTTGGCGGAGCTGCAAACTAAAAGACACCTGAACATCCAGGTAAAGGAAAAACTCTTTAATGCCTTTTTAAACTGCAAATTTAAAACAACTTTTTTTTTCTTTTAGCAGGGTAACTTTTATTCTTAAAAAATGTGGACATCTTTTTGTTCTTGATTTACTTTGATTAGCGTTTTTTCTTTTTAATGTTTTAGTCTGAATTCACTCTCTGCCTTTGAGCACAATATGACCAACTTACACATCTGATACATTCACTCTCAGACGCAGGTGTTAAACCTCACTAACCAGCCCAAATAGCACCCATTCAACACACTTTCTACCCTCTTCCTTTGATTTCCAGACCATCGCTTTCTCTCACCATGTCCAACCCAAACGTTCCAGACCACCATGAGGAGGCCTACGTTTCTCTGATGAGAGACATGAGAGAGCTGGACCTCACTGGCTCTAGCATTCCCTGTGACCTGGTGCTGATCGGAGACCATGCCTTTCCTTTAGCAATGAACAGCCAAGGCCAGGTCCTGATGGCTGCCTCTCTGTACGGCAAAGGAAGGATTGTGGTTGTGGGTCATGAGAGTTACTTGACCAAATGTCCTGCTCTGGTGGAGAGCGCTCTGGTCTGGCTGAGAGGAGATGGATCAAACAACACGTCTGTAGGGATCAACAAAGAAGTCAAGGAGGTTGCTGATCATCTCAACAAATCCAGCTTTCAGACCAGAGTAGTGGAGGGCTTCGAGAAAAACCTGGGGGTTGGTGTGTACGTGACCAAGGCCTACAATGTGGACAAAGAAGTGAAGGACCTGGTGGCATTTCTAAAAAATGGAGGGGGAGTGCTGATGGGAGGGCAGGCGTGGCACTGGGCTTCCTCTCACCCAAAGTCCAACACGCTGCTGCAGTTTCCAGGGAATAAGCTGTCAGGGGTGGCAGGGATCTACTTTTCTGAGCATCGCTGTGAGGCAGAGCGCATACCTGTCCCCCCACAGATCCCATCTTCCTGGATGTCTGTGGTGTGAGTGTTCATAAGTCATTTATTTTGGAGCACAATCATTAAATGTTACACCTCAGCTTTTATTTTGAAACTTTCACACACACTCTGCCTCCTGGTTATAAAAGTATGATTACAGTGGACAGTCATTTACAACTCTGATTCTATAAGAGTTGTGCTGCTGCGTAAAATGTTGATAAAAACAATATATTTGCAGAGTTTTCAAATCATTTAAAATCTATGTTTAATTTAAAACAGTGCATTGACAACGTTTGTTACATCATGATTTCCGTTTCCATTTAGCTCTTTTTTTAGCAATACTGTAAACCTTAGTGAACCAGCAGACCAGGTTCTGGAGTCTAGACAGTGAAATGTTGTCCCAGTCTTGCTTGATAGAGGATTTCAGCTGCTCAATAGTTCAGGGTCTCCTTTGTCTAATTTTTAGTTTCCTGATGATCCAAATGTTTGCAACAGATAAGTCAGGACTGCAGTTAGGCCAGTCTATCAGCAGTACTCTTCTACTACAGAGCCACGCTGTCTTAATCCCTGTTGTCAGAATTTGGTTTGTCATTGTCTTGCTGAAATATGAAGGTCTTCCCTGAAAAAGTAATTGTAGCTGTGAGCTGAAAACAGGCCCTGGTCCTTCTACTCTGCAGAGAGGAGAATGCAGCATTCATGATCCCAAACAGAATGTCCGACTTTGATTGGTCAGCCCACATAAACAGTTTTCCCTCCCTCTTAGTCAATCTTCTGTGGGCTCAGATCCAGATAAGTCTCTGGGACATGGTTCAGTACCTCATTTGTGGATGCAGTGACAAGATGTGTTCACAGACATGATGCATTTAGGAAGTCATTTGATCCTGAAGATCAGGACCATCCAGTCTTGGTTTTGGTCTTTGTCCCTTTAGTACAGAGCATAGACTGTATAAAGAATGGACAGAGTCTGCCTCCTCTCTGGGTGAAGCCACTCCGAGAACAGCACCCTCTGTGGACGGGCTGCAGTATAGGTCATGAATCCCACCTCCACCAGCAAAGCTTATGGGACTGTGGACAAACTTTAGAAATTTATACACAGTACATACATTTTTCTCCCCCCTGCTTGTGATGTTGACATGTGGTTACTGTAAGACTGGTTTGTGCTCAAGTCCTCTTTTTTCTGTACAGCTCCGTTTTCAAAAGTTATTAGGGGGTTCATGTTTTCTATGATTGACACCTGATACAGCCTATGGGCGTTCAGGGATTGTGTAGCTCTCCCGGGGGATACGCTGTTTGAGCCGGGCATTATCACAGCGAAATCCCGAGAGCTTTTTGGCTTCAAATCTGTATACAGGTGGTAGGCGGAACCAAGTTGTCCATAGTATATACAGTCTATGGTACAGAGATTTCTCCAGATTCTCAGAATCTTTTAATAATATAATTTTCTGTAGATGATGAAATCCACTCATTCTTTCACATTTGACACTCAGGAACATGATTCTGTAACTGTTCAACTATTAGCTCACACGGTCTGTCTGTGTATGTTTCCAAAGTTTTACACCAAGAGAATAACTGATGAATCTTTGTATTTATACCTGTGACTGTATCAACTACATAATGGACTCTGTCTTTGATAACTGGTCTCTACTCACCCTCCCATGAACAGTATTGGTAAGGACTTCGAGGACGACCTTGAGTTCCTGTTTGATGGGGTTCCAGAGCTTGACCTCCAGGGTAATAGCTTGGCCTCTGAAATCCTGATCCACGGTCCACTGGCCTTTCCTATCGGGACCACAGAGGGTGGACAGGCCTTCATGGCAGGAGCTTACTACGGGCAAGGACGTGTCATTGTGACGGCTCATGAAGGATTTCTGGGACGAGAGGTAGAGTTTGTGTCCTTGTACAATACTTTTAATCTTTATGCTGTCTGTCTGTGCTGTATTTGACAGTTCTTACAGCTACTCTTTCATTTTAAAAACTGGTACCATTCTGGTTTACGCCTGTACCCAGAAAACCCAGAAGTCTATGCATGTAGCGCAATGCACATCTCCTCAAAACTGTAACTTCATGTCCAAACCAAGTAGACCACAAGCCCTGATCCATTGGCTGCACAGACACTACATTGCAAACTAGCATTTGGCAAGTTTAGCAAAGTGACGCAGAAGTTGGCCAACTCTCTTGCATGGCAACAGTGGAGGAGGCCCTCAGCTGCTGTCTGGAATGCACCGATGTGCCAGATCTGTAAAATTATTAACAAACCACCAACTGTCTCGAATTTTCTCTCTGTCTGCAGAAGCTGACCAAATTTTGGAGCAATGCCATTCGTTGGTTGGATGAAGGCCGCCAGGGGGTCGTTGGTATAGAGCCAAAACTCTCTGGCGATATCCTCCGCAAATCTGGGTTAAAGTTTGAGCAGTCTGGCTTCAAAAAAGACCTGAGTGTGTTTGTGTGTAGACCGAATACCAACATTGACATACTAGACTATGTGGCAGAAGGGGGAGGCCTGCTGGTGGCCGGACATGCCTGGTACTGGGCTCAGACGCATCGTGGGAAAAATCCATTATCAGATTTTCCAGGTTTGTAAAAGTACTTCAAGTGAGAGGAAGAAAGGATTTAGAGAAAGACTGATTTACAGGATTTACAGGACTAATTATGGCTTTCTAGAGAATTTTTATGACTAATGCTGCAGACACTGCAGGCAGCCATCTTGTCAGTGAGGCAAATCTGATCTAAAATTGAAAGCTCAAAGTGGGCTCTACCTCAGGTACACAGCTTTGGTTTTCAGATCAGGTGTGTGATGTCTTTCAGGTAACCATGTCCTGAACAAAATGGGCTTGAGCCTGTTGGGTTCAACAGTCAAAGGAGGAATATTTAAGACTCCTGATCCTAGCAAAGCCAAAGACAACTACCACTTCCGCCAGATGCTTCGCCGTTTTGCCGCTCATGTAACCAAGGGGGAGAACCTGAGCAAGCAGGAAGAGGGCAACCTGAAAAAGCTTGGCCAAGACTGCTGCGAATATTTGCACATGAACGCTCGAGACTGCTGCTCCTACACCCAGGTGGTTTCCACGCTCACCGACATCTTCAAGACCTCAGGCTTACCTCAGGTGAGTGAACTAATAAACTACTTCAGAATGATTTGTCTGAATAAAAGGAAGTGACACTGCCAATACAAGTTAAAGCAGCAATATTACCATTTTGATAACACTCAACATCATTTTTATTTAAGGTGTGCGATAAATGCCCGTCAAAAGGTGCAAAAGACCACCTGCTCCTCAGTTTGGGGGCTGACGTGTACAAAGCTTGTCCAAATCCTGATGCCCTCCTGCCCTACCTTATCAAGGACAACCCTGTAATGCCTGTCGTCTATAACCACAAGGTTTACATTAATGTGGACACAGCAGGTAAGCATTCATGTTTTTAGAGATTAGTGATTCTGAGAAGGGAGGGAAATTCAGGTGATTTAATGCAGTCATCACTAGAGCTTCATACAAGTGCACTTTTCTTATTTAACGCTGTGATTTATGTAATTATAGGTCTGAAAATCAGTTTGTGACACTAATCTAGGAAAGGAAAAAGGCTGATGTGTGTGACTGTTGGATGATTTATGCGTCTGTGTGTGTTGAAGGAGGGGAGGAGTGGATCAGCACGGGTCTTTACCTGGCTCCTGGTTTGAAGACCCACATAGCCGTACCTAAGCAGATTCTCAACAAAGGATGGCAGGTACTGTGCGCAGATTAATGTAAGGTTTTTGTATTTCTGCGAAGCACTATCTGAATATGTTCACAGCCTGGTAAAACCATTGGAATCGAAAAACTGGGTCCTGATCAGAACTGTTTTATCTACTGGCATCTTTGCCTCTGCACTCCTTATTATATCCATCTCTCCAGCCTCACAAACTTCCAGAGTAACAGATGATCCCTGTCATCCTCAGGTCCAGATTGGCTGCCAGACAGACAGGCTCAAGCATGAATCGCTGAAGAGAGCTCCTAGAGTTCATGAGCGGTTTCCTGTTACCTCAGAAATGATGCTGGTGCATAACCTGTGGGGGGGCCTCATCTACCTGATCGCCCCTCCCAAAACAAAAGAGGAGGGGCTAGAGGTCACAGTGCAGATAGCTGTACCTGCACCGTACTACAAGTCAGGTGAGTCTGTGCTGGATGTTTGCTGATGATGGCAGTCTAAGGTTGAGCAGGATGAGCGAGAGAGAATAAAAACCACCTCAGACCACTTTGGATAAAATAAGTGCAGAGTGAATCTTTGCTCAGCTCTCAGGTGTTCTTTTCAGGTGTGACTACACCAGCTGAGTGGGCGTTGCTGAAAACAGCTCCTGCACCCTGGGCAGAGCTGGAGTTCGCCAACCTCATCATGACGGTACCTTCAGATGTTATTCGGGATCTGGAGCGCCCAGACCTGCTGGCGGTATTATGGGATGACATCATGAAAGGCATTGCTGACCTTGCCGTCATACCGCACAAATTTCCACGCAAAGAACGCTATGTGGCAGACGTGCAGATTTCCCACGGTAATTTCACTCTCTGCGCTTTGTCATGTTTTAAATCGGAGGTCCAGTTTTGTTTTTTGTTTTTTTAAAATTTGCTCTACTTCTTCTCCTTCCAGGTTGGATGCACGCAGGTTATCCTGTCATGATGCACAGGGCCACAGCCGCAGCGCTGGTCAGCGTAGAGCACGCGAAGACTAAAGGCCTCTGGGGCGCCATCCATGAACTGGGGCACAACCAGCAGAGGAGGTGCTGGGAGTTCCCATCGCACACCACAGAGTGTACATGCAACCTGTGGTCTGTGTATGTTCATGAAAATGTGATTGGGATGAGCAAGGAGAAGGTGATCATTTTTTAAAAAGATCTTTTCTTGAAGTGCATTTCAATACAGCTGTTAAAGGAAGATGCAAATGACAACTAAAATATTATTTCCATGATTTTTGACAGTATATGACTTTTTATTGAGATTTTTAAAGTTTCAAACACATTTTTTTCATCCTGTTTAGGCTCATCAAGCGATGATTCCTGAAAATCGAAACAAACGGGCTGAGGAATATGTCAAAGGAGGGCGGAAACTCAGCAGCTGGAGCGTGTGGACGGCCCTGGAGACCTACATGCAGGTACAAGAGAGTCACTAAATACTGTGATAGAAAAATGAGATCCAAGCTAAACAAAAAGAAAAGGCTTTAATTTCTTCTGTTTCAAATTAGAAATGAGCTTATTGTTTTGAATGATAAGAAAATCCTCACAGCCTCCTCTTTGAGAGTAATGAATTCAGACCAACCAGTTTGCTGTTCCCTTTCACCTTTGTACCCTCATACCTGCTTCATTGGATCTCTCAAATTTGTCCATTTCTCAAATCGCTACACATTTCCACTCTGCACAAGGGTCGGCCCTATTTATTGCCATCAAAAATTCTTCAAGGAGGGTATATATCGAGGCTGGACTGCACTCTCTGATTGCATAAAGGATTGTGCATCATTTGCCCTCACCCTCTGCCGCATATCAAGCTTGGTTTCACATGTTATTATAAGCATATCGTTTTAATGATATTCAAGTGTATAAGAAAGCACTGCAGCTCTGTGCAGTCTGCTCCAGTTTTGTGTCTGTAATTGAAGTGAGCTGTCAGCATCTCCCCATCCACTGCTCATTCAACTATGTTTAATAGTACAGCCTGTATGTGGTAGCCTGTACACAGCCTTTAATGATTACAGGCGTCACGCACAGATCTATTATTTGTAGTTCATGCAGAGATGACTTGTCTTGATCACTGAAGGGTTTGACAGCAAAGCTGTTTTTTTTTCTCATATTTTTCACCTTTTCTTCTGCTCTTTGCAGCTGCAGGAAAAGTTTGGTTGGGATTCCTTCAAGAAAGTGTTTGCAGCGTACCACAAGATGAGCGACTGCCCAAAGGGCAACCCAGAAAAGATGAACCTGTATGCTGAGACCTTCTCCAACACCGTGCAGATGAACCTGTGTGGATTCTTCAAGGCCTGGGGCTGGCCCATAGAAAAAGCAACAGAGGAGAAACTCTCCAAACTGCCTGCCTGGAATGACCATCCCATGACCAAATACAACTGAGCTTCAGACTGCCGCTGATGTGGAGGGTTAGGCTGATAATACTATCCACTTTAGCCTGTCACAGCCCGAAGAAGGTGGGGTGGTGTTTGAAATGTGAGGCTTGGGGAGAGATGGGTTCAAAAACTGACAAATTTCTGATACTTAGGGGTGAATTCACAAAAGATGCAGCACTGCCACTGATAGACCCACAGAATTCAGAGTAATTTGAAAGTCCAGTTGCTAAAGCATGTTGTACAGTATATTCCGGTGTACACTTGCAGATAAATGTATACCACAGACAAGTACATTTATTGGACAAAGTCAATCCAAAACACGCCAAACCTCTTTGCACCCTGCACTTCACTTCACATCCTAATTGCGTGCCGTTAACTGACAAAACGTTTTTGGACACACTGAGATCCACTTTGCACCACAAAATAGATTTTTTTCTACCATACAGAGGTTTCCTTGGTCTTCTGATGACTGATTCTATCGCTAAGCCACAGCCTCTGTGCTTCTGTGCCTCAGACAGTTTGTAGATTTTCTTTTTGTGTTGCAGCTGAAACTGAAAATTACATGATTCATTTTTGCCTGTGCAGTTTTATTGGTGTTTAAAGATGTGCAGTTTTTTTGTGAATTCATTCCCGAGACTTTAAAGACTTAATAAGTTCACTGACTTTGTTTCCTCATGCTGGTTTTTTTTTTTTTTTTGTGCGTGTTTTTTGTATTGTCACTGTTTTTATTTAAGTATTTAAAAAACTTAAACGAAGTGCAATGAGAGTGCCAGATATATAAAGCTTTTAAATCAGAAAGGTCAATTTAAAAAAGATTTTAATTGATTTACAAAATACTATAAAATACTGAAACCTATTCAGTTGGAAAAGTAGCACTTTTACTTATACTGCAGTGACATGTAGCCTGTTATTTTCTGCTTCTTGACCTCCTGCAGCTTCTTCCTGACACTTAAACTTCCTGTGAGGGGTGTTAGCTTATGAAACAAGACCATCGGTGAAGATTTAGTCTGTAAGTTTTATCATTTTTAATGCCTGTTACCATTTTTTAAATCATCTTTAATGCCTGTTACCAGTTTGTGGGGGTAGGTGCCACCAAAGATGATAACCTGCACCTACAGGACAAAATCTGCTAAGGGGGGGGGGGGGCTAAGTCAGCAGAAAAAGAAAGTTCCTCACAGGAGCTTTAATAATCCATCTGCATCCTGGTCTGTATGAAATTTATGCAAAAACTGTCAAATTCATTGAATAGTAAAAGAGGTCTTCTGTGTTTTTTTAGTCTTCTGCAGTTTTTTTCTAGTGCCTAGTTTTTTTCTGACGTCATGTCTGTTCCAGACTTCAAACTAGATACAGCTTCATATTTTCTCTGCAGTGATATCCGTTTTTACTCTCAATGGAAAAGGATGCCATAATAAACAATTGACTTGCCATTCCACTTATTTCTGTCTTTAATCTCATGTTTCTGAGAGGTAAACGAGTACTGGCTGCGCAAAAACTAGAAATAACAATTTTAACAGCAGCAATGAAAAAATGAATGCACACATGCATCTGATTTCACCTCAATTTAGAGAACTCTCTACATACATTGAATGGATTTTCATAAATTCAAGGAAATAAAGTCCAAAATTGGTGCTGCTGATATTATTCAACTACGGAAAAGATGAAAAACTCCTGTTTTTGTTTTGATATTTGGACTGGGCTTGTAATATGAGTATTTATTACTCACATTATTGCTTTGAAAGCCATGAATATGGAAGCTTGCAATCTTAAAGTAAAAGGCTAAAGGTCAATTTTTTTAAGGGCTTTTCACAGCAAAAGTTTCCCAGTCCTATACTTGGAGAAAAAAAAAAATGTCATGACTGGCTAAAAAGTGATGGCACATAAAGGGGGACACTCTAAAATGACACTTAATCAGACTAATTCATTCACAGAAACATGCAGAATACTGTGAAAATGATCAGATCTCGTAATCATAGAAAATGGTGTCAGTGAGTGGGTGTGTGGATAGTGTTGTGAGCAAAGAGAAGAGGAAGTAACCAAACGGAGCATGAATTAAAATAAATAAATTCATAAACATATTGAATTTCCCTTTGGGGATCAATAAAGTTCCTCCTCTGAAAGACAGTCTGAGGGGGCAGTGTTTATTGTGACAGGGAGCATTTAGCTCATGTGCTTCCTATAAATTGACACACCCGCCAGTCACATGGATCTACAACAATAGAAGAGATACAACACAACTAAACAGGCTCCTGTCCGCTAAACTTCCTAAAAAATGTAGAGGACAAAATGAACAAGCGACTACACAAACCACAAATATGTGTGTAAATTGAAGGGAAACCCAGACATGACAAACAGTCACAGATTTGGCGCTTTAAACTGGAGAGTTATGTCACATGAGTCCAACTAAGCATCAAAATGCACAAAGTCAAGCATACATTAGGACATTTTTTTATCACAGTGCTCAAAGGATGTTTTTTAAAACAGTGACAACTGCACGATCCACAAATGTTGACTTGTGACTGGTTTAACTGGTTTGTTGTCCATTCTTAAATTGGGTTTGTCTTTGTTTGGACTGGCATGTGAAAACTGTTGGTCCACACACACACACACACACACACACACACACACACACACACACACACACACACACACACAGTTTGAAACACACCCAGTTTGGCCAAAATAGTTCATATCACAAACACATTATTGCGAATTAAGTGGGCTTTCTTCTCAATTTCAATCAAAAGTCTTTAAAAACAAACCAAACAACATCATGCAAATGAGACAGAAATAACAGTTGGTTCTGTCTGGTGAGCTGTCATGTCACATCTAATCTCTTAATTTCCTAATTATAATCTGTTGTTTGTCAACTGACTGCTGTGACTCTGTTTCTTTGTAAAACTGCTGAGTCGCTGTTAGGGAGTGACGCTGTTCTAAGGACATTAAAGGGATATTCCGGCATAAAATTAAGTTAGGGTCAAACACACCGTAACACAGAGTTAGACGCCCCGTTGAGAGATGAACGTTGCTGACCACTTGCTTCTCTAGTTTTACCAGCTTTAATAACGACCGCAGATAGCAATACAGAGAGCCACATGCTCAACCAAAAAGCCACTCTACAGCCACAAATAATGCTCAGAACAGTACCTAACTTTATCAACAGTACTTATGGTCCCAGTCATAGCACGAGCCACCTAACATCTTCTTAGCTTTGCCTGATTTCTTTAGCAAAGAGAGTAAACACAACTCACCCACTCTCTTCCAGGAGCCGCTTGTTTGTGCAGAGACCTCCGGGAGAGTCAATCGACTGCAGTAGGGGGAATGTTCCCTGTTCCATATATTCCTGATCAGCTAAATCACCTGTGAAAGTATGGTGGCCCCTCGTAGTCGGCACTGAAATGGTTTCAAACCTGAATAAAGTTTAAATAGTAATTTGATTGTGAGGAAAAATCATCGTAATTTTACACATATTTTAGCCCTCATTTGAGTGTTTGTATGAACTGCTCTTTTTTGCCACACGCTGCCACCTGCTGGACACAATTGGCAACAGCATGGAAGAGTAATAATCACTTGTAGGAAAAGAATAACTATATTCATAACATTCAAACAACATTTAAAGAGGGCAACTTTATACCAAGAAAATAAAAAAACACTTATAAATCATCCTTTTTTAAAAATATGATTTATGTTATTTTTTTGATGCCAGACTTCAGGTAAAGAGAGTTTTATTCTACATTCAAGTGTTTTCAGCAATCCAAAACCACACTTATCAAATAATTAGTTTTAAATCCTTCTGGACACAGGTGCATACCTCATTAGAAGCTGGAACTGAACAATTACAGAGCTGATGCTTCAGGATTATATGCCCAGCTCACCAATGGCCCTGGTGCTGCAATGCAAATGCAATCAATTGGATGTTTTTACCTTTTTAACACACAAAAATATCAAACTTTTCACAGGAAAATCACCAGCTGTGATTTAGTTTACAGTTATAGGGTGTTGCATCAAATATTTAGATGCTTCATATTGTGTAATACCATAGAATGTAGGGGGAAAGTGGGGTAAAGTGAGACATTTTTTACATTTGCTCCCCTCTAAGTGAGCTTAAACGATATATGAGTAAAATTCACTCATTTCCTATTAATTCAGGGTGTTTCCTATGGATGAAAATTTTCAGAATGTATTTAGGACAAAGGGCAGAGAAAATATGACTGTTTTAAAAAAAAGTGGTCTTGTGTCTCAGTTAACCCCAGATTAGGGGTACACTGAGACAGACCTGAGAAATCAAGGGGGTAAAGTGAACCAGCTGGGGGTAAACTGATCCACTTACTTTTTCCACTCTGAAACTACCGTAACAGCAATAAAATCAGTCATAACATAATATAATCCAAAATGTTTTAATTAACATTCAAATGACAGACAGAACCGGTCTAGGGGTCAGAACGTAGGACCTTGAGAGACAGCTAGTGTCTGGACGTCAGAGCAGAGAAAGGAATCAGAACCAGCTAGAACAGCCTGGGACTCAGAGCCATAGACTGTATATTCTATGGACAACTTGGTTCCGCCTCCCGCCTGTAAGCGGCTTTGAAGCCAAAAAGCTCTCAGTATTTCTGCGATTTTTCTTCATGTCTTGAAACCAACATTGCGCAGTAGCGTTGTGCGCATTCAGCGGGAGAGTCGCAGAGAGTCACTGTGATGACGCTCAGCTCAAACAGCGTATCCCCCGGGAGAGCTATGCAATTCTTGAACGCCAACAGGCTGTATCAGGTGTCAATCAAAGAAAACATGAACCCCATAATAACTTTTAAAAACGGAGCTTCACAGAAAAAAGAGGACTTGAGCGAAAACCAGTCTGACAGTAACTACATGTCAACATCACAACCGGTGGGGAGAAAAATTTATGTTCTGTGTCATTAATTTCTAAAGTTTGTCCACAGCTCCATGAGCTTTGCTGGGCGGGATTTATGACCTATACTGCAGCCCGTCAACTGAGGGTGATGTGTTGTCAAATGTGTTCTGTTTCCTAGATACAAGGGATGTCTCCCATTACCCGATGTCTCACATTACCCCACTCTCCCCTATATAGAATGGACGCCGTCTGCCTCCTTGCTGGGTGAAGCCACTCCGAGAACAGCACCCTCTTTTGATGGGCTGCAGTATAGGTCATAAATCCCGCCTCCGCCAGCAAAGCTCATGGAGCTGTGGACAAACTTTAGAAATTTATTACACAGAACATAATTTTTTCTCCCCCCTGGTTGTGATGTTGACATGTAGTTATGGTAAGACTGGTTTGTGCTCAAGTCCTCTTTTTTCTGTGAAGCTCCGTTTTTAAAAGTTATTAGGGGGTTCATGTTTTCTATGATTGACACCTGGTACAGCCTATGGGCGTTCAGGGATTGCGTAGCTCTCCCGGGGGATACGCTGTATACAGGCGGTAGGCGGAACCAAGTTGTCCATAGTATATACAGTCTATGTGTAATACACGCAAAATATCCCAGTAAAAGCAAATTCACACGGAGAAACACTGTTTTTACTCCACACAACCTCCAGTGTTGGTGTGATTCCACTTAATGTAAGAATTTTCATGTAAGAATAACTGAACGGATGAAATATTGAGTATTTGAAATTAACCTTTTTTGTCACAGTTAAGTTGTTACACAGCGGGAAAAATACAAACCTTGATAAGTCCATGAAAGGAGAAATAGATTCAAGACTTGCAAGACAGAGCACTACCACAGGTCATTCCTCCCTTCTGCAATAAGACTTTACAACGAACTGTAATAATAACTGGACTCACACGATCACTTTTTTCTGGCATTTAAATTGTGTATATTGTAGATAGTTTTATTTTTGTTCTCCCTTTTTCCTTTTTCTAAAATTTTTCTTAATTATTACATTTATTTAAGTTCTTAATATTAGGATCTTTATTTTTATAACTGCATTTTTGCACTCTTTGTTTGTGATGCTGCTGTGACAAAAAAAATTTCCCCCATGGGGGATCAATAAAGGAATATTCTATTCTATTCTATTCTAAACATTTTGAGCATTTTGAGGAGGATTTTTATCATTGCATCTGTGAAAAAAGGTTAGCTTTATAGATTTATGGATTTATTGCTGCTAACCCTTTAAAAGGTTTGTATGATAACGGAGCTCCGGTGCTGGGCACACAGGACCTCATCGATGTAGAGAGAGTTTGCTTTGTTCTCGATGTTTTCCTGCAGGTTCAGCTGGCAGCGAATCAGAGCCCTCTGTTCCTCCTCTGACCGAGACACTGCTGCTTGCATTCTGAGAGAGTCGAGGAAAAGAGAAACCACATCATTGATGTCTCCTGTCAGATAAAAGATCTACTAAATTCATCAACCACCATGGGAGATAAGCCAAAAAGCAGCTCTTCAACAGTTTCTCTGTGTCAAACTGGTGATCGCCTGCTCCTCCACATCAGGAACCAGAGGTCCTGAACTTACTTGTTGATGTGGGTGGGGAGCTGGTGAACCTTGGCGAGGAGCTGGGCCTGTGCTGGATCATAGCAGTGCTCTTTGCCGGGCCTCGTATGCCGCAGGTCCAGACGGTTCTGAGCCAAAGTCAGAGCGTGTTGGCTCTCAGTCATGGTGGCTTGGAGATCCTCCCTGATTCTCTGCTGAGAGACGATCTCAGAGAGAGTCTGAAGGCGACAAGCATGTTACTCACAGGTCAGTTTGTGCTCTTACTTTAGAGTTAAAGATGTTTCAGCTCAAAAAAACTTTCATACACAACATCATCACACAAATGCATGGCTTGTCGTATCCAGTGGCTTTAAATCATGCATCATTCGGGTGTCCTCTACCTTGGCCAGCTGATCCTCCATCTGACTCCTGGCTGTCTTGATCTCCTGGATGTTGAGCTGAAAGGCCTTGTTCGTCACCTGGATCTGTTTCTGCATGTCAGCACTCGTCTGCTCCAGGATGGAATTCACCAGAGCCTGTAAGGACAGAGAGTTTTTCCTCTGCTGCTCCGCTTTGGCTATGTGGATGTCAGAGATGTTTTCCCACTCCTTCGGAGTCACTGCCAGGCTGAGGGAAGAAGGAATAAAAAATTACAGACTTTCCAGATATGTGTAGAGAATATGAAAGCCTCTTTTCACAATGGCAAGGATTTCAGAGGTTCAATTCTGGTATAACATGTTGTCTGCAATTCTGCACCTTGGCATGACATTCTGTGTGTTTTTGGATGTTTTCTCACTGCCAATCGAATGGGTTGTCATCAAGGTGCACGAGTTGTCAATGCTCTGAGCCTCAAACTTCTCCTTCAGATCCTTCTCCAGCTGGTGCTTGGACACCCGGTTCAATCTGAGACACAGAACAGCATGTTTGAGGGATCTGATTTCATTAAATTGTGAAATTCTCCTTATAGCGCCGCACACTCTGAGCTCCTTTAATAATATTTTTTTTTCCTGCTCACCGTATCTGCTCAGTGATCTGCTCCACCACACGCTGCAGAATGCCCTCCACTCCCGCTGTGATCTCTCTCTCTTTCAGGAGCTCTCTGTCCACATCATCATGATGCCTCTCTGATGGTAATCGTTTCAACCTGCAGGCGACATAGGAAAAAAGACTCACCTGCTTTAAATAAATAATCCATAAGGATTGTAACCACAGACAATGGACACTTAAAAAGTGCTCCACAAATGAAGTTATGTCATTATAACATTCGTATAAATCTATTGTATCTTGCTTAGTTAAGGTCACTTTCTCAACATGAAGCCTGACCTCTCATCCTGGCAGGCAACAGCCACTCTCAGAGGCTCTTTGCAGGCCTCCAGAGCTTTAACCACCCTGCTCTGCAACACAATGAGGTCTTCAATCATCACAATAATCTCCTCCAGCTTCAGCTCCAACTCCTTCTTCAGAAACTGGATGTCTCTGCCCCGCCAGTCTGAAAAGTGGAAGAAAAAAACATTAATCAGTTTTTGTTTAATGCTGCTCCAGGACACCCCCTATGTCCTCATCCTCTCACCAAGTTTCTTGATGTCATCACTCTGCATTTGTTTGCACATTTTTTCAGTTTCCAGGATCAGCCTCCTGCATTCTGCTCTGAAGAGCTCGCAGTGATTCCTCATGACCTCCATATTTTCAAGGCTGGGTCCTGCAGCTTGCCGTAGACTGAAGTTCAGGACGGACATTGTCCTTTGCTGAAGGTCCTGCAGTGAGGGGCAGGAAGTGAGAAAAAAAACAAGGTCACAGACAAAAAAAATGGTGGTCTTATAACAGTTATGAAACACAGGCTTCAGTGGCTCTAAAAACATAAAACTTAAAACACAACCCATGTAAAATGTATCTCTCTGGATTACATACTACAACCCAAATTTCAACATAGAAAATCATTTATGTACATTTATTGAACAGGAAATAGTGAAAAACCATTAATCAAATGTTGCAACTGGAAAAGATATTGACTTTAAAAAAACAAAAACAAAAAAAGAAACAGCAGAAACAAGAAAACAGGCTGGGTGTCTCAGATGGAAAATTGTTAGAGGTTCACCACTCTGTGAGAGACTGAGTGAGCTAATAGTAATTTCAGAATAACGTCATCAGACTTCAAATACAGTACTGTGTCCTGCCACATCCAGAAATACTCAGATGACACCGCTATTGTGGCATGTATCAGAAATGGACAAGAAGCTGAATACAGAGATCTAATAAGAGCCTTCAGTGACTGGAGTCACAAAAACTGCCTCCTCCTCAACATCTCAAAGACAAAGGAGATGGTCATAGACTTCTGTAGATCCAAACCCCCTCTTCAGCCAGTGAACACCTGTGGAGTGGACATCGAAATGGTGACATCATATAAATACCTAGGTGTACATCTGGATAATAAGTTGGACTGGTCTAAGAATATAGACTACATCTACAGAAAGGGGCAGAGCCGCTTCTTTTGCCTGAGAAGACTCCGATCAATAGACATCTGTAGTAAGATGCTGCAAATGTTTAACCAGTCTGTGGTGTAGATCTACAGTGTTCTGTTCTACGCTGCAGTCTGCTGGGGAGGAAGTATCAAACACAAAGATGTAAGATGCCTTAACAAACTGGTGAAAAAGGCTGGCTTTGTGGTAGGACTCAAGCTGGACTCAGTGGAGGATGTGGTGGAGAGATCTACACTGAGGAAGGTGAAGACTATTCTAAAGAACATGGATCACCCACTTCACAACACCTTGATGGACCTAAGGGCCAATGGTGGACGGCTCCTCTCTCTTCGCTGCAGGACAGAAAGATTCAGAAGATCTTTTGTACCAACAGCCATCAGGCTTTATAACTCTTGTGTAAATAGTAGATAACTTTTAGAGACATATTATGTGAGACAAGCGACAATTGAATTTCCCTTTGGGGATTAATAAAGTTCTTCTTATTCTTATTCTTATCAGCTCCCAGTCCAAACCGTGTATCTCTGATGGTAAGGGGATCATCAGAGTCCATGTCATGGGGGTTATAAGAGCTGTAATGATGGCAAACATACAGCCTTGACAACATTTAACAGTCATGACTGTTGAATAAAAAGACACACATGCTGTTTTGTAAGACTTTTATATATGAAAACAGAATATTATCCCGTGTTGGCAGCCATAATAAACCACAAACTAAACTAAGCAAAACCGTCATCCTCAGAGTAAACTGTACGTGTCTGTTAGCAAACTTTCTTATTTTAAAACCACCAACAAACGTCGAGTTTCTAAATCATTGGCGTTTAAAAACCTTTGACAAACTGACTAAATACAGCTCAAACAGATATGCGAGTAAATATTTACCTTTATTTTACGCCGCAGACCCCGAAATATTTCCGTTTTGAAGTCTCTGCCCCGTTTGTAAACGCAACAAACAAACGGTTTCTATGGCAACGGGTGACCGTCGCTAAACCCAGAACAGGAGCATTTTAATTTTAATTTTTGTATTTATATTTATTTTTTTCAACAGCCCACCAAAGTGCTTAATTTACGTTTACGATACAATACATATAGTTAGTAGTTAGTTAAGGAATTGTGCTGGTCAGCCAGGGTGAACTTTGGATCTTGGGAACACATTTTATCATTTCACTTAAAGAATCAGAGAAAATAAGACATCTGAGAGAACTGGTTTGTTTAGTTTTTGAAAGAGAATAACTTGGTACTTTGTCCATAAAAGTCTGGATTTGATCCCCTTTAATCAATCCTGCTCTTTAGCTCTAGTTATGAACCACTATTGCCCCCCTGTGGTTGACTGCATTAACACCAGATCATCACTGTAATGTGGCATGTGTTTGCTGTATTCAAGTTTTCCAACAGCTGTTTTACAAGAAAAAAAAAATACAGTATCAGTCAAACTCACATTAAACAAATATAGATGATAATTAAATGAGTTGAATTCACCACACACAGATCATTAACAGTTCTCTTGTCTGTTTTAGGTTTTTTAGGTTTTAGGTGATCAGGACCAAATTTTAAAATGCTGCACAAAGACAGAGGACCTGCAGACCATGTGCCTAGCTTTTGGTTTTATTTCTTACCGTGGTCTTCATAATAATGTGTACGTGTGGAATGGGAAGAGGTTCCCCACCTTCCTTAAGAGGAAAGGCCAACCCTCGAGAGCCAGGTTCCTCCAGAGGTTTCTTCAGTTCAGATTTTTTTCCTCTCTGTCACTGATGGCCAACTCAGACCTCGCCGTTCATCAGGTTCTAAGGATGAGTTGGCCTGCGAGGCTTGCTCTCTGGGGGAAAAAAACTGTCAATAAATGTAAAAACACAATTCTTGTAAACAATGTCATGGTCAATAAATTAGTATGATCGGGATTTTCTGCTGATGTTCGTTCATGCGGAGCTATAATAAATGTTTTTACTGTTGAAATGGGGATCATTGTGCCCAAAAGGTGGGTTTAAAAGAACTGACTGCAGCTGCTGCACTTCAAGGTATAAATAACATTTTGAGTTGATGATTGCAGTTTGCTTTTGTTTTGTGTCTCATTGTGAGGGGGCTGGCTGCAGACCTCCAATGTCAGGACCCACCTCCACTGTGAGGAGCCAAGGTGATGTTTTTCCCACACACTCCAGTTGTTTAAAGTGATCATCCCATTTTGTATTTTGTCTTTGTTGAACACATAAATACACACAAAAAATCATATTAACATTATATTCATAAAATAGAGCCCCAAGAAAAAAAATATATTCACACAAGACAAAATACATGTAAGTTCCACTCTAATGGCATTGAATTTGAAAGGCTTCAAATCAACTTCTGATGTTAAAAAAAAATAATAATAAAAAAAATAAAAACTACTCCCTGTATATTAGCTTTTATTTTTAAAGGCTCAGTGGAGGTGGGTCCTCATATTGGAGGTCTGCAACCAAGGGTCCTCACAGTGGAGGTCTGCAGCCAGACTGTCTTGGGATTGTGGAGAGGAGCTGTCAGCATCTCCATTCTCTGCTGCAAGAGACTCCAGCTGTAGCTGATCAATGTAATGTTTTTGGCTGAGATGGAAAGAAATACTTGCAGATTGTCCAACAGATCTCTAAATGTTGGTTGTATGGTGACACTTCACCTCTCTCGTTACTTTTATAAAAAAAAAATAAAGGGAGTAAAGTCCTCCATCTGGTCTCTGATGGTCTTGTTTTCAGGTGAGGAAAGAATAAGGTCACTGAAATGTCCAAATGTGTTGCAGGTTTTTATTAGGACAAGGATGATTGCGGCCGTAGAGGATTAACACTGAATGGACAGACCAACACCTTTGCTCACTTGATTTCATGATCCTGTTGATGGTGGGGACTTTTTGAAAATCATGAACTGGTTTTCCCCAGAGTTATTTAAACTCCTGAAGACAACAAGATTTAAGACCTGGACCTTTAAATTTCAAAACTATCTCCAGTTGGCACCTTTATTTGCTCCTTTGGCCCCATGTCTGAGATTATTCATTATACAAAATATACACTCAACTTGTTTATAATTTGGACTCTTGGTTTTTCTATTTCTATTTATTATTAATTGTGTATGTTTGCCTTCACTACAAATGAAAAGGCTACCATCAAAAGTCATTTTACGACACTCATAATAAATTTAATGTGTTTATTTGTGATAAAATGATGCAAAATAAGGAGTAAAGTGAACTCAGACCCATTAAATAAAAAAATGGGGTGTAAATATCAGTCTGATCTTTATTTTTACCACTTAATCAAACTTGAATCCAATAAAAAATAGATTTTAGAGCTACAAAAATAAATTGTTCAGTATAGAATTGAGTTTTTCATCCTCCTCTTGGTATCATGTTAAGCCCTGCAGTTGTTGTAAAATAACTCCCCTACTGGCTGATTGGAGACCTCCTGGAGGAACTCTCTCAGTTCATCCAAGTCCAGCTCCTCCACCAAGTTCTCCTCTGTGTTCCTGGCGGCAGCGGCCCCACTCTGAAGGGGTCTGTTGTTGTTGTCCACACAGCAGTAGGCGTTCCACAGGTAGTCTGGGATGTTGACCCTCTTTACGTTATTCTTGATGATCCAGTTGTCCTCAGAGGGGATGGCGCCGACCAACACGTAGGCCTTAGAGCACTTCTGCTTGAACATATCGGTGAGCTGGGACTCGTGGATCCTCCAGGCATTCTGGTTTAGCTTGGGGTTCTGGGGGACCACATTAGTCAGGGTGAAAGTGGCATTTCGGCCAGGGACTGAGGAAGAGGAGAAAGGAGAGTTTAATACAGGATTTAGGATAAAGTCTGTCACATAAGAAAAACATGATGTCAGATATGATGATCTGAAAATGTCAATTAAAATCATTAAATTTAATGACCAAAAAGCTTCAGCCTCAGCTACTGGAGGAGGTCAAAAGGCCTGCAGATGCAAAGTCGTTTTATATCGTTAAATGAAAAGATATGCAATGATAGGGAAAAATGATCAACAGACTGTCGAGATGTACAGTAGAATCTGCAGTATTACCTGGATGGTGTCCGTTGGGGTTGAGATGACCGCGGTCAAAGCCAGAGTGAGTGTAGTCCTCATTCAGAGCCTGTCTCTCTCCTTGATAGACCCCGGGGTGGTCTTTTCCCAGCCAATAACCATCCTTCATCTCCGCCTGCCACGTCATGTTGACCAGCTGTAAAGCACATAAGGAGCTCTTAGGTTTAAAACCTTTCACAGGCTGGAGGTTTGTAGCTGCCCTAACACATGCTGATTTTATGGATAACATAAATAGTGCAGATACATTTATACAGTATGATAAATGTGTCACTGACCTGAGGCTCTACAAACCACCTTCTCTCTCGGCCTCCTCCATTGCTGGGCTCAAACTGATAGGCAGCATACACGGCAATGCGGTGGACTGTGTCGTACAGCGTAGCAAAGTGATACCTGGAGGCGTAAAGATTCAATATAGTGATGTGGAGGTTTAGAGGAAACAGTCAGAGTTGAGGAGAAGTTAGAAACAAGAAGAAGACAAGTATAACAGAGTACTTTTACATGTCTGTGCAGACCAGACATGACAAGGCAGTGTGTGTGTCAATATTTGATTGATTTTTGTTAAAACCCTGTGATACTGCTCCTGTAAAAGAAACTTCTGATCTCGATAAACGCTACTTTAAGCTCCTGTGGAGAAATTTTCACTGTGGATCAGACTAAAACCAACAGTACAGCTGTAACAACTCAAATCTCAGCATGGCTTTTTTGTCTTATTAGAGAAAAGCAATTCCTCTGCCTCAGCATGTCCACTACCTAAGACAACAGGGAGTCATCTTCTGAAGAATACCCTCACACTCTGTGCATGTGAGCAGAATCAGCTGCTGGAGTCTCCTGTGGGACTACTTTACCTACAGAGCGTCTCTGGTGGTGAACTTACCGAAACATGCAAAACTCTTGTACGCTGTCTGACTTGCAAAAATTATAATTATTAGAAAAGTTTCACTCCTAGACCTACTTTGGACAGATTGTGAGGCATAATGTGAGTGCAAGCCATATCATGGCCATCAATGTCACAATAACAATATTATTGTAACATTTTAATGAAAAACTTGAGAATGTGACAATGTTTTAGTCATATTAAGGAAAGGCAGGAAACTGGTGGAGCAAATAAATTCACATGTAATGAACCATTTGTAATGATGCTAAAATTTATGATTTATCCCCAGAAGCAGCCCTGTGATTGAAACTTCACTGGAGAAGACACTACCTCATAAAACGATTATTTGACAAGCTTTATCTTTGATATTTTCTATTGTTAACCCATGCTTTTATTTTGAGGTTAACTACTTCTAAAAGAAAAATCTAACAATAAATAAATGGTTTGAAAGGATAGATGTATGTTTGATCAGGAACCTCAAGCTCTAATATCAATATTTCACTTTGTATAAAGATGGTCATCGTCAATACTGGTGTGTTGAAACAGCCCTAAAACTGACTAAGAGTAAACACAACATAAAGCAAGACAAGCAATCAAACGATCTATCACTACGTGACAAAAGAAAGTGTGAGGACATCAAGTTGGATAATAACAAAAAGTGAAGTGCAACAATCAAAGCTGGGAATCAATAACCTTTTGTTTGCTCTGTTGAGCAACAGTGAAAATGTTCAATTCTGACTGATAAGGAGGTCTATTTCCACTCCAGAATAATCATTATCATCAAACAGGCTGTTGAGGAGAGCTGTCCTATTATGAAGTGTTCATAACACTTTTTTTTTTTCATTTTCCTGTGAAAAAGTAATTATGAGGGAAAAAAGCTTCATCTAGCTCGTTGCTCACCTGTTGACAAAGCGCTGACAGAGACGTGCAGCTCCAGGTGTGGACAACCCCCACTCTGGTACCTTCTCTTTGTAGAAGTACTTCATGCATTCTGGTACATCCTGAGATAATAAAATAACAGACTCTGAAGTCAACTGCATACATATTAAATGTCTGCCTGAACTCCAGATTAAACTAGAATAAAGTCACAAACCTCAAAACGCTCCACGACATCTGCGTGAGCAGAAAAGAGGAGCGTGAGGAAAGCACACAAAGACAACAAAGTTTGCATCCTGGAGAAAAACCTGCGGTACTGATGAGTCGTCACCACCTCATACATTAAAAGAAGAATACAAATAGTGTAAATGCATGTTGCTTTTTATGTGCACTTACACAAAAACTTAGAGCCTCCATATGGAAGACGGTCTGTTTGCACCGTCTGTGTTTCAATGTTTGTGTTTCCACTCACCTGCTGCTGCACCTGTTGGGCTTCCACGGTCCACCCTGAGCACAGTCTGGCTTTTATAGATAATTCCTCTTCACCTTTCACCTCCAGTGCTCTTCACTATTATGTCAGCTCATACTATACACGTGATACTTCTGCAGTATGATGCAGAATTAGATCAACACATGAACTCGACATGAGGTGAGGACTTTGAATAAATCATTACAGAAATGTTAATTTAAAAACTGAAATTCATAAGTATATTTTGGATTGTGCATCATACATTTTTTCATGTATTTTCACTTCGACAGACACATTACAAGTTGAAAATGAATCATCTATCAATATAATCATCACTGATCACAACAGCCACACAAATAGCAGAATGCAATTTGTGTGACTAATGTCGCTGTGTGTCCTGTGCTGCAGTGAACCTGCTGCAACGGATGTATTTCTTAATCTGTCCTCATCTTGAGGTCATGCAGCAAGAAACTGTTTGATTTGAATGTGTTTACTGACATCTTTGTTTATATCTCTATATTAATGGATGAAATGCTTAATATAGCTTCATATAGTCAAATCTTTTTTGGAAGGTGTCTTGCGACGCTCCTGTAAATGTCTCATGGCCCCTCAGGGGGTCCCAACCCCCACTTTAGTACAGTATGATTGGGGGTCCCAACCCCCACGACCAATCAGTACGATTGGTGATAAATGTATGAATTGTAATATGAGGTCTGATTTTAGCAATGTTTTTAAAAACCTTAAAGCTCCTATGAGGAATTTTCTGTTTGTGTTGGTTTGGCACCCCCTGTGGACCAAATGATACCCACCTCCCAAATTCATACATTCCTGTCCTTTACATGTTCAGGTTTCCTTTTAAGTATAAGATAGCTTTTTCTTCACTTTGCTGCAAATTGCATCATCTGGCACCTCCACCCCTTTGCAGCACTTAAAGAATTTTAAAGATTGACATTAAAGAAACTGTCAGTCTTTTTAGTAATAGGTTTGTTTGTTTAAAAAGAGGCACTGCTTTTAATTTCAGGCTGTTTAATCACCAGTAAAAACAAAATAATAATAATAAAAATAAATAAATAAAAAACCACGAGCTTTAAATTCGTACATTTCCTTATTTAGTTTGAAACTTGTGCATTTCTGTGAGAGAAAAAGTAAAAGATCAAATTCCATTTGGGTCATGGGGTGAGGCAGATATGTGCAGCCGAGTTTACCATACAAATGACAACTGACTTATTGATGAGCAATGACATTTACAAGCTGCAGCATGTGCGATGAAAATAAAACGGGCCCAAGGACACTCCCCTGAGGAATACCATCATGGGTTTTTGACACACAAGCTCACAGACAGACCAGAAACCTATCTGACAAACTGTAACAGGCTGACAGATGAAAAATGGATTGGAGTTAACCTGCAAAATTCACAATAAAATAAGGTCTATTCTGCAAGTAGCTCCATTTAGACCGGCTGTCATTTCAAAGCTGCCATCAACAATTAAGATCCAGTTACAGATCAGACATTTTATAAAATAAAAACAGGATCTTCATCCACTGTTGCTGTGAGTCAGTCAGGGAGGAGCAGCTTTAACATGTGGTGATTTATTTAAGTTGAATTCAGTCACAGCGTTGACTCATGTTCAAAGAACTCCTTAATGTTCATCTTTGTTATCTGAAACCAAGTTCAGCTCCTGAATTATTTTAAACATGTGAGTCTTTTCCTTCACTCAGCCCCTCAACAGCTCCAGGTTAGGTAACACAGAGATATCGGTCCATGTGTTGTTTTTCCCACCAACACCGAACAGACTCACATGCTGAGTTCTCCTTGCTCTTCTTTTCACTTTAACTTAAAGTTATTGTGACAATTCCTGGAGGAATTTCTATTTTTAACCTCTCCACATGTTTACTGAGGTTAGGAGGTCATGTTACAGCCATGCTCTTTTGGCAGATATATAATTGCCTCCAGGAAACATCAGGAGACTAGAGATGTCTAAAAACTACAGCGAGCCTCAAAACTCTGACACCACCTCATGGCAGTGCCTGGAAGTAGGCATTATGGCTGGATGCACCGTTTCTCCCCTGGCTTTCACCATGGCGATGGAGGTTATCATTCGAGCCTCGAAATGGGTTGTAGGCGGACAAAGACTCGACTCTTGCCGGCGCCTCCCTCCCCTCAGAGCCTACATGGACGACATCACCACACTGACTACCACTGTCCCATGCACCAGGAGGCTACTCAGAAAGCTTGAGGAGAACATCAGCTGGGCCCGTATGAAGATCAAACCATCTAAGTCACGCAGCATCTCAGTGGTCAAGGGAGTGCTTACGGACGTGCAGTTCTTCATCGGTGATGACCCAATCCCCACTGTTTCTGAGCAGCCAGTCAAAAGCCTTGGAAGGTTCTACGATGCAAGCCTGAAGGACAAAGACCAGGTGGAGCAACTGCGCAATGACATCAATGCAGGCCTAAAGGCGATTGACAACACCCAACTCCCTGGGAAGTTAAAGACCTGGGGCCTCATGTATCAACGCTTGCGGCGCAAGAAAACCTTGCGTACGCCAAAATCGGCGCACACGTCCAGATTTATCATCGCGAAACGAGCGTCGGTTCCAGCGCTAATCAACGCAAAGTCAGGAGGTGGTGTAGAAATTGGCGTTGAGCTGATACTTGCGTTTACTGTGATTCGCACTTTGGCGACGCTGTGTGGCGGTGTTTGGTGACTCACTATGTGACAAGCGTGCACCACATCCCCGTGGCCGAGCAGCACGTCGCCCCACATGACGAACCAGCAGCAGACGGAGGGATGCGAGCTGATCCCTGCCGGGCCGCCGTCCTCGCGCGGGAGAATCTCATCGCCACAGTGTGAATGGGTAAGAAGTGAATACACAGTTCAATGAGCCAAATTAATTTATTTTCTCCACCAGACGCTCGAGGACATTTACGAGCCGGTCCAGCCGCTCGTTGATCCCCGCGATCCCCCTGATGATTTCTTCCTGCGATTGCAGGACCCCCTCCGCGAGGACCACCCGCGTCCGGGTGGTCCAGCGGAAGCGCTGCGGCTGGTGGACGCTCCACCGCTTGTCGGCGCGCTGGTGCTGATGCTGGTGCTGGTGCTGGGGCCGGGGGCCGGGGTGGCCCGAATGCCGCTGGTCCTGGCCGACGACTCCGAGCCGGCGGACGGGCTGCCGCGGGCAGGGGTTCCGCAAGCCGGCGACACGGCCGACACATTGATTTCTGTGACACAATAAAAATATTTGTTCATTTCAATTCCTGCTTCTGTGTATCTGTTGCGTTTACATCTCTCTCCACGGTATCATAGGTAATGTAATCCAGTATTTAGAGGTCAGTTGTGCACATTACCAGTGGCGGTTCTAGACCAAATTACACCCCCCCCCCCCCACCCCCACACACACACACACACAAAAAGAGATAGAATTTTGAACAGATAGTTTTGTATTACTATGTAGTATTATTATTATTATTATAACAACAAAAATAATATATTTCTCAATTGCAGAAATCCTTCAATAGAAAAAAACACAATCCTGAGGGCCATTTTCAGAAGGGCCCCCAGATCCTGAGGTTTTCTGAAGTGTTAAGGTTTACAAAAAAGCTGCTATCTCAGCCTCTGTAGTAGATAGAAACAAAATTCAAAAAGTATTTGAGAGCTTAAACATGTGGCTTTCAAGAAAGCTCTCTTTTAGTTTTGCGAACCTTCATCACATTTTGAAAACCTTGAACAAACAAACTCAAATGAAATAAAGCAGCTGTATAAATAAAAGTAAAGGCTCTGCACTGGAGAATGACAAATAATTTGCTTTCTGTAAAACAAGTGGCAGTCATGATAAAGTGTCCATTCAATACAAATGTAAATATAGAAAATAAGGTGTTGAAAGGGTATACAGCTGCCCCAGTATAGTGCCAGTACAAAAGCAGAACTAAACACTATAAAATGAATAGATAAATACATGGCTGACAGTGTGTTCATCTCTGTTCTCACCCAAAGTCATGCAACACTCAGAGAAAACGCTGATAGTGTGAGCCAAAGCACTCCCTATGAAGAGGTTGTTCACACTGCTGGATGTTTCTCCTCTGAAGCTGCTCTCTGTCTCAGTCATTGTTTACTTTACTCATGAAGCTCATCAAGCACGTAGCAAGATCCGAGCATGAACCCGAGCGCTTTCTTCGCCTATCAGAGGCAGACGGGTACGGTGATTTCATTCACCACGACTCCAGAAATGATTAAAAAACTACAAAATGACGTATCCGCGCTCCCGCTGATATTCTGACATGCGTACACAGAGCAGAGCTGTCCCCCCGCGACTCTCTCCCTGCCTCGTCTCCTACAGTCTGTCAGCCTCTGTGCAGCAACTTCGGAGCAAGCAGGGGCGCCCACAGCAGCGGGGGGGGCGCCAATTTGACAACAAGAGTTAATACAAAACCGCTTTGCGGTTAAGATTTATTATTATTATCTTTTATTTTATTTTTTTGGAAGTGCTCGTGCCGCCCCCCATGAGTCATGACACAAATGCCGCCCCGGGCGGCTGCCCTGTTCGCCCGTGCCTAGAACCGCTACTGCACATTACAGTTGTTTATTGCATAAAAAGTTATCAAAAATGAAGTATAGGAAGAGGGCGAAGTATAAATCCCGTCTAAAAATAGACTGAATCCCGACGTTGAAATGAAGTATAAACTTAGACTAGACGTCTAATATACGTCTTTTGCTCAGTGGGATGGCAAAGCATGTGGACATTTGTGTGACACGCCACTTACCCTATAATAATAATCGCCACCACCCGCTGCTCAAACGGCGTGAGGGTCTCCTCCCCCGGACCCCCACCTGTCTGGCCGGTACTCCTCCGGAGGGCAGCTGTACGCCGCTTGACCTCCACCTTGAGGTCCGACCACTTTTTTTTAATCTTCGCGGGGGTGCGTGTCTCGGAACCCACCGCATTCACCCTCTCGCAAACTTTCTCACACTCCAAGCGTTTTCGTTTTGCACTGACGCCACTGGACAGGCTGCCAAAGAAAACACGCTGTCGCTCCTCCACCTCCGCCACCAGCACCTCCACCTCGCACGCCGTAAATTTAGTTTTTCTTGTCATTTTGTCTGTGTGCGAGGACAGGGAGACCCTATTTAAATAAATCTGCATATTTATAGGAGGGCGTAATGGGGACGGGCCCAGTCACTCCGACATCTGCGCTCAATTCCACG